CTCTTTACAGCCTGCTATCCACACACCTTTCTTGGTCATTGCAGCTGCAAAGCAGGAATGGCTCTGGCATGGGCACGCATGGCGCGGCAGGGCGCAGCGGTGATGGCGGCGGTGGCGGCAAGCAGCAGGCGGGGCTGGGCGCGGGCGGCGGGCGGGGGAGCGGCCCGGGCGCGTCGAACAGAGTGCTCGCGGTGCGGACTGCCGTCGCCAGGCCCGGTGGCGGTCGCCGGGATTGCCCCAGCGGTGCCATCGCTAGCGCTTGGGGGGTTGGACACCGCCATGGAGCTGGCTGGTGTACCCGAGTGCCGTGCCGTCCACGGAGTGGGCGCTGGCTCTGCCGGCGCAGAGTACAACCTGTTCTGCCTCCGCGAGTGGCTGCCGGCCCTGCCCAAGCTGTGCGTCGAGCTGGCGGCTGATGGCAGCGTGGCGAATCGTGCTGGCGCGTACACTGCGCCGGAGCTCAAGCTGGTCACCCTCTCGGACTCGCGGTGGGTAATGGCTGGCGAGGCTCTCCCGAAGCTGCTGGCCGATGCCGGCGCCGCCGACACGGCCGCGGTCCCCGACGACGCGCTGCGGGTGGCGGCAGAGGTTAACGACGGCGCGCCGGCCGCGCACGGGAGCTTCACCGTCGACATCGAGGCACCAGATGGTGGGATAGTGGCACGAGTGACGCGCGACAATGGCACACCGGGCCCGCAGCTCGCCATGGCCTTTGCCGCCGCCGAGGACGAGACCGGGGCGGCGACAGCGCGGGTCGGAACGGGCGCGGGCGCGGTCGAGGCTGTGTTCGAGGCTGCTGCGCCGCCGCCGCTGTTTGGCGGCGCAGCAACGAGCAAGGGCAAGGGACTCATGTTTTAGGCATCGACGGCTAGACTTAGGCGCGCTTGGCCTTGGCCTTGGACGAGGTGGCAGCCCGCATGTCGGCGAGCCGCTGCTGAAAGTCGAGTGAGGCGTACGAGTGGGCCTGGCAATCAGCCTCGCGGGCGAGCGCGGCGTCGAGGCCGACATCTGCGGCGTTGCGAAGGGTGCGAGTTAGAGTCCGCGAGGCCTCGGGCGAGGTGTTGGCGGCGAGATCGGCGGCAAGTGCGAGGGCTGCGTCAAAGGTGGACCGGATGCCCGCAGCCGGATCCTCGGGCGCTGTCACCAGCTCGTTAGCAAGGCCAAGGTCGACGGCCTCGGCCCCAGAGACTAGATCGCCAGAGAGCAGGAGTCGTGCGGCGCGCTGCGGGCCGACCAGAGCCGGTAGCGTGTGGGTGCAGCCCATGCCCGGGTGCAGGCCGAGGCGAACAAAGTTGAAGCCGACCTTTGCGGCGTCGTGGACGAGGCGCATGTCTGCGGCGAGCGCAAAGCAGCAGCCGGCGCCAACGGCGTGGCCGTTGATGGCGGCAATGACCGGGACAGGCAGGTCGCGGACGGCGAGGAAGGCTCGGTAGAAGGCCATCATGTGCGCCGTGTTGGAGACCGGGTTGTCCTGCGTCCGCTCGTGGAGAAAGGCCAGGTCGCCGCCGGCCGAGAACGCCCGTCCGCGCCCGGTCACCACCACCGCCCGCACAGCCTCGTCTGCGCTGAGCTCGCGGACGGCAGCCGTAAACTCGCCGCCCATGGCCACCGTCAGCGCGTTGAGCGATGCCGGCGCGTTGAGCTCGAGTGACGCCACGCCATTGTCCCTCGTCGTGACCACCACCAGCGGCTCCGACTCGCCCGCAGCCGTCGTCACCGCGCGGCAGCTGGCGGCCCCGAGCCGTGGCGCCGCGGTGGCAGTCAGCGTGGCGATGCAGCGGAGCATGGTGTGAAAGAGGAGAGAGGAGTCCTGGTGACGAAGGGGGAGGGGGAGGGACTGGCTGCGGCTGGGCACCGGTTGGTCCGCGGGCGCCAACGGAGGTAGAATCTACGGCGGATAGCGCAGCCAGGGGACGTCAGCCACGGGAGGTCGGCCAGGCACGATGCCGCACGGGCCCGGCACACCGCACTCGGCAACCATCGGCACTCGAAGCGCCGGTGCAGACGCAGAGAGAGCAAGTAGAGACACCGTTTGCAGGGCGTGTTGATCGGCAGCAGCAGGCAGAGCATGCAGTCCATTACGTCGTTCTTCGGCCCGCCGGCGGGCGGGGCTGGCGGCGGCTCGCGCAAGCGCGGGCGTGAGACGGCGCATCCGGCATCCCTGGGCGCGTCGAAGCGGCAGCGGTCCGACTTTCCGGAGCCCGGAAGCAGCGGGGGCTGGGGCAGTGGGCATGGCGGACATGGCGGCGGCCATGCAGCGGCGGCCGGGTGCGGCTCGCGGTGGGCGGCGCTCGAGGCGTCGCTCCCAGCCGACGAGCCGCACAACCCAAACTCAGGGCTGAGCGAGACGCAGCACGAGGCGGTGCAGGCGAAGCGTCGGGCGGCGCTGCGCAAGCGGGCGATCAAGGCGGCGCTGGCCGAGGACTTTTTCGGAAACATGGAGCTTGCGCTCGACGAGTCGTGGGCCAAGCGGCTCGGCCGCGAGTTCGACAAGCCGTATTGGCTTGCACTGCAAGCCAAGCTGCGGCGCGAGGCCGTGAGCGGGCGGCGGATCTTCCCGCCGGCGGCCGAGGTCTTCAACGCCTTTGGCTTTACTCCGTTTGACAAGGTCAAGGTCGTCATTCTCGGCCAGGATCCGTACCACGGGCCCGGGCAGGCACACGGCCTGTGCTTTTCGGTCCGGCACGGCGTCCCGCCGCCGCCGTCGCTCAAGAACATCTTCAAGGAGCTTGAGGCCGAGTACGAGAGCTTTGCCAAGCCCGACAACGGGTGCCTCGAGTCGTGGGCCAAGCAGGGCGTCCTCCTCCTCAACTCGATGCTCACCGTCCGGGCCCGCGACGCTGGTTCGCACCAGAAGATGGGCTGGGAGCAGTTTACTGACGCCGTCATTGCGGCGCTCAACAAGCACCGGACTGGCCTGGTCTTTCTTCTGTGGGGCTCATATGCGCAGAGCAAGGGTAAGATTGTGTCGACCTCCAAGCACTGCGTCCTCAAGTCGGTCCATCCGTCCCCACTCTCGGCCTACCGCGGCTACTTTGGCTGCAACCACTTTGGCAAGGCCAACGCCTTTCTTGCCAAGCGCGGCCTCGACCCGATCGACTGGCGGCTGCCGAACGTCGATGGGAGCCTGCCCGGCGGCGCGCCCGCGCTTGCCGCCACCATGCCGGCGGCCTCGGCGCCGACGCCGCCGGCCCCCGTCAAGAAGGCAGCCGGTGCGGTCAAAGTCGCGCCTGCAGCTGCTGGCGGCAAGAAGCTCGTCCCGCCACCATCTTCTGTCGGCGGCAGCACCTTTCCGTCCAAGCGGGTTCAGATTGCGGCGCCGCCGGCCCCTACAAGCGGCGGCCATTCCGGGCCTGTGCGGTATGACGGCGACTTTGACTCGCTGTGGTGAATAGCCCTTACCGGTACACGGTTGTTCGGACGCGTTGTCGCGCGTCTCAAAGTGAACAACTTGATGATGCTTGACTTCCAGGTCACCAGCCGACGCTGCGCGACGCCTGCTCAGCCTGCGGCTTGAAATAAGAGGCGCGCCCGATGCGTGGCTCGCACGTGGGTCCTGCCGCCCGACGCTTGTTCTGGCGACGCTCTTGTGTGCAACGTGGGCGGCGATCTCGCTGTTCTCGCGTGCAAGAACTCGATCGAGTGCCGCTTCCTGGCAACCTGCTCTCGTCTTCCAGACTCAACGACCTCGCGCAAGCGGAAACGTCCCTCTGCAGCGACTGCTCGTCATCACCGCTTTCCCCAACAAGCCGCCGTACGCCGTGACTGCCCCGCCTGCCGGGGGCTTCATGGTAAGCGATCGCGGCCGCGGACCTTTTGCGCCGCGTGCGGCGTCCATCTCTGCATCGCCGACTGTGTTCTGTTGTAGCCCACCAGTGGCCACAGCAGCCATCAACACCTTGTACTTCTCTTTTACCGCGATCGATGGACGTTGCGGAGCGCGGCTTGTGCGATGGACAAGTTTGTCGATTCCGTACCGTAAAGGTTAAGAGCCGAATTGAGTGGAGCGGAAGGGGGGGGGGGGGGGGGGGTGGCTGCGGGCCGGGCAAGCAGGCAAAGACTCGGCTCGGCTCGTCAGGTGTAGTGGCGAGGGCATGGCAGCCATTGCCTCGGGAGTCCACCGGGCGCATGAGGAGCAGGCCGAGGCCAAGGTCAAGGCCAAGAAGGAGAAGCACACGTTCAACGACATCTCGACGAGAGCCTCTGTCTTCCGCGACAAGCTGATCGAGGAGTTCCGGCTGCTGGAGAACCTGGAGCAGACGCAGAGCTCGCACGCGCCGGTCTTTGACGCAGGCTCGCTCTTCCCGGCGCCCGACGAAGACGAGGACGTCGTCGGCGGTGGCGGTGGGAGTGGGAGTGGGCGCGGAGTGGAGATGGCATCGCTCGATGCGCGAGCAGCCGAGGCTGGCGTGCTCGAGCCGGGCGGAAACCGGACGTTCACCAAGGTGCTGAAGGAGACGCCGCACCAGATGGTCAAGTTCAAGCATTTTAAGCGGCGGCCGGACAAGGAGGGCGAGTTCAAGAAGTTCCAGGACAAGCGAATGACGCGGCTGAAGAACGTCAACTCGCCACCGCTCGGCCTGTGGGCGCACTGGATCGTGACGCACCACTACTTTGAGTGGCTCATTCTGGGCGTCATCCTCATGAACGCAGTCGTGCTCGGCGTCCAGGCCGAGCTGAGCGAGAACGAAAGCGAGTACTGGCTCACACTCCGCATCCTGTACTTTCTCGATCTCTTTGCGCTCTACGTCTTTCTCCTGGAGATCGGGCTCAAGTGGATCGACTCGTTCATGAAGTTTTGGCAGTCGGGATGGAACGTCTTTGACTTTCTGGTCACGCTCCTTTCGGCGGTGCCGGAAGTTCTCCCGTTCTTCCTCTCGGGCTCATCGGCGTCGTCGCGCAAGTTTGCGGTGGTTGCCAAGCAGTTGCGGCTTCTCCGCGTCCTGCGAGCGCTCAAGCTCCTGGTCCACTTTACAGGCATCCGAATCATCGTGGAGACGACGCTCCAGGCGTTCAACTCGATGTCGTTCATCATGATTCTGCTCGGCCTTGTGGCGTACATCTACGCCGTCGCTGGCATCTACCTCTTTGCCGAGTACACCGAGTCGGAGCGGAGCGATCTGCAGTACCAGGAGAAGTTCCGAGGCATGGGCAACGCGCTCATCACGCTCTTCCAGCTCATCACGCTCGACCAATGGTATCTCATCCACCAGGATGTGGCACTCATCATTCCGCGGTTCATTACGGCGACGTACTTTCTCTCATGGGTCTTCATCGGCGCTTTTGCCTTTCGCAACATTTTGTGGGAGTCATGGTCAAGAACTTTGCCATTGCATCGGAGCGGATGCACGAGGAGAAGATGGCCCGCAAAAGAAGCGCTCGATCCGGCGGTACTTTAAGAAGCTCGACACGTACAACACGGCGATGGCCAAGGGCGCCACCAAAAGCCCGAACCTTGGCGTTGGGGTGGCAGGTGCTGGTGCGTCGGCAGGCGCAAAGTCGGCGCTGCACTCGCCGCCCGGAGGCGGGGCGCCGGCCGGGGCGCCAGGCGCCGGCGGCGTTGGGCCGGTCTCGCGCGGCTCATCGCGAGCCGCATCGCCGGTAGGCACTGACGGTGAGTCGTCCACTGAGGACGACTCGAGCCTGCCCAACACAACGCTGGCGTCGCCGGGCGGGCTCTCGCGCGCCAACTCGGGCCTTCGCCGCAGGCCGTCGAACCGCTCGCTGGCGACGTCCAACGCGACACTCGACTCGATCGTGCAGCGGGTCAACTCATTCCTCCTCACCAACCGCGAAGAGGGCCTGGGATGGGAAGCACACATTGCTGCCAACCTCCAGGGTCTCACCGCCGGTGAGCTGGAAACGCTCTGGCCGCGCGACACGCTCTTCCACTACCTGCAGGACATGCAGCAGCTGCAAGAAGTGCATCGTGAGTTTCAAGAGCTGCAGCTTCTTGCGTCGTGGACGCTATTTGAGGCTTTTGACACGTGATGTGTCGGCAACTGGCGGCGCCCTGCCGCGGATTGAGCGGAAAGGAGGCGGGAGGGCACGATCTTGCTTTACCTGCGCTTACGCTTGAGCGGGTCACCGCGGCGCTTGCGCTTATTCTTGGAGACGCGGCGCTTGACGCCCTTGTTCTTGCGGACGGCGATGGCGTCGGCCTCCTTGTGCAGCATTTGCAGCTCAGTAGACGAGAGCAAATACGACGGGATCTTGGCCAGCCCCTTGTTGACGGCCTGCGGGTTGAGGACGACGTCGTGCTTGAGGGCATCGAGATCAGTGGGGTTGTCCTCAAAGTGAGCCTGGAGCTTGTCCGAGTTGACGATCTCGTTGCGAATCTCGGCAATACGTGCATCCTTGACGGTCTTCTTGGTGATGGACATGAGAACGTTGCGAACGCGGTACTGGAACTGGACAATGCGCTTGAGGTCAAAGTTGTACGCCTGGAGATCGAGCTCGCCGCGCGCCATGCGCTTCCGGGTCTCGGGGTTGCTCTTGGCGGTGGCAGACTCACGGGCAAGCTCGCCGCGGAGGCGCTCAAGCGTTTGCTTGTCGCGCGACGAAACCATCGAAAGAGCGGAGCCTGCGGCACCGCCGCGAGCCGTCCGCCCGATCCGGTGGATGTACGTCTCAACGCTGTTAGGAAAGTCGAGGTTGATGACGGTGTCGACCTCCTTAAAGTCGATTCCACGCGAGACACCGATCTCGTCCTCATCCAGGTTGCTCTTGGTCGTCTTGGCCTTGCCAGACGTGGCCTTGGCCTTCTTGGCCGGCGGGGCGTCCGAGCCGGAGCCCGAGCCGGAGCCATCCGAGGCAGAGCCAGAGCCAGAGCCAGAGCCAGAGCCAGAGCCAGAGCCAGAGCCAGAGCCAGAGCCAGAGTCAGAGCCAGAGCCAGAGCCGGCGGCCGAGTTCGAGGCCGATCCAGAAGCAGAGCCGCCAGAGTCGGAGCCCGAGCCGGAGCTGGAGCCAGAGGCCTTAGCCTTTGCCTTTGCCTTTGCCTTGGTCTTGGTCTTGGCCTTGATCTTGGTCTTGGTCTTGGTCTTGGCCTCCGGCTTGGACTCGCTCGTCGGCTGGACCGGCATGACAGTCGCCTTGTCCGTGGCGATGAGGTAGTCAAACATACCCTTGCCAAACTGCGTCACTACCGAGTAGCGCGAGTTGAGCGGGAGGTCGGCGTTGAGGACAGCGCAGCGGAGCGAGAAGCGCTCGAGGAAGAGCTTTGTCTTGTAGCAGCGGTCGACCGAGTTGACAAAGATGAGAACCTTGCCCTTGATGACGCGGAGCTTGAGGAGTGAGTAGAGGAGCAGGTACTTGGACTCTTCGTCGACGTAGATGTAAAACTGCTTGAGCGAGCTGGCGGACATGCCCGAGGCGTCGTCCTCACCGATACGGAGGACGACGGGCTTGTTGAGGAGGAGCTCACGGAGGGCAAGGACGTCGTCCGAGAGCGTGGCCGACATAAGCACGGTCTGAACAATGCGTGGAAAGTGGCCGAGAAGAGCCTTCATGTCGGCCTCGTAGCCATACGAGAGCAGCAGATCGGCCTCGTCGACAGCGACTTGCAGCAGGCTGTCGGCCAGATTGAGGAGCGGGGCGAGGAGGAGGACACGCGACGGAGTGCCAATGAGGACGTCGGGCAAGGCGCCAAGGAGCCGGGTCGACTTGAGCGTGTCGTCGGAGCCGACCTGGTAGAACGAGATCCGCTGCGGGCAGTGGACGGTGAGCTGCGAGACGACGTCGTAGACCTGCCGGCAGAGCTCGCGCGAGGGGACCAGGACCAGGCCCTTGATGGAGCCACGCGCAGGCTCGGTCCCGGACTCGAGCGCCACCGCCTTGTGCAGCAGCACCCGCTGGATGAGCGGCGCGAGATAGGCAACGGTCTTGCCGGACCCTGTCCGTGCCCGGGCCAGCACGTCGCGCCCGTCCAGGATGAGCGGGATGGCCTGGACCTGGACCGACGACGGCGTTGTGTACCCAAGGTCGAGCAGCGCCTGCTCGAGCTCGACGTCGAGGCCAAAGGTGCTAAAGCCCGACACGGTGCCCTCGAGCTCGGTGGATGCCATGCCGTGTGCTGGAGAGAGAGTGGTGGCGTGGCGAGGGGCGGCAAGGTGTCGGCGGTGATGGGCGATGGAGACGATGGATGGCCGACCGCTGGCTGGCTGGCGGGCCGACGACTGCTAGGCAGCGACCGGGCGTGGCGTGGCGCGGCGCGCCTGGGCGTGTGGCCCCGCCGGCGGCACCAGTCTCGACTGACAGTGGAGGCACACACACACACGACTCGGAGGCTCTGACGGACAGACCGCGTGGAGGAGCCTGAGCGAGAATGCAGGCCGGAGGATCCAGCAGTGGTAGGAGCGTGGGCATGGGCATGGGCGGCGGCGGCGGAGGTGGTGGGGCCAAGGTCGGCTCGGTGACGCGCATGGTGGCGCAGATGCAGGGCGCGAACGGGGGAGGAAGCAGGAGCGGGAAGGCGCCCGCAGGCGCGAGCGGGAGCAGCAGCAGCGACAGCAACTTCGCGAGTGGTGGCGGGATGCTGAGCGGGCTGCTGGCCTCGGTCTCGCTGGTGGGGCTCGGGCTCGGCGCGCTGCGGGTGGTGGCGCCAGCGGTGGCGCTGTTTGTGGTCCGACGGGCACGGGTAGTGCTCCGGGCGCGCGGGCCGGGTGTGGCGTATATGGACCTCCCGCTTGACCATCCACTGGTGCAGGCGCGGCTGGAGGGGGACGGCGCGGCGGCCGACGACGGCGGTGCGGTCTCGTACGGCGTCCTGCTCGCGCCGCGGGCCGGCGCCATCGCCGTCCTGGACGAGCTGCGGGCGACCGGAGTGTACAAGGGCGTGTGGGCGACGATGTTTATCTCGCTTGTCTCGCGTGGCTTGCACACACTGCTTGACCAGCCAGTCTACACCGCGCTGGTGGCGCAGCGCGGCGAAAAGACTGTCTCGTCGATGGGCGAGCTGGTGCGCGGGCTCCGGACCTGGCCGCCGCGACTGCGCCTGCCTGCGGTCTTCCCGCTCAACGACCCATACTACATCACCGAGCACGTGCTCACCATTTTGCTCGCACCGCTGCGGACCATCACGCTGCGGTACATGAGCGACGTGCCGTCGGCTCACGGCGGGACAGCCAAGCCCAAGTACGCCTCGTGGTGGGACGCGGCCAAGACGGCCGTGGCCGAGACCGGATGGGCCTCGCTCTTCAAATCGCGTTTGTGGAGATGGTCTCAGACCGGCTCGACGACCTGGTCTTTGACCTTGTCCATCACGTCTTTCTGCGGTACTTTGTGCTCAACTTCCGCTCGCCGTGGCTCAACACCCACGTCCTCCTCTCGTACGTGGTCAGCGGCATCATCTCCTCGCTTGCTTGCCATCCGCTTGACACCATCCGAATCGTGCTGGCCCGCGACGGCGAGCAGGCGCCCGAGTACAAGGGCCAGCCGTCGGGTTCGGCCCGCTACTCGGCGTTCTGCGGCATTGCCGACGCGTGGCGCGACCGCATGACAGAGTACGGGCCGGCAGGTCTCTTCCACGGTTACGAGTTGATTGCCACCGCACGCGCTCTTCACATCGTTCTCTCGACGCTTACCGGCGCTGTCTGCGCCCGCCTGGAGCGGCGGCTGCTTATGTGGGGTTGGTCGTAGCCTACGCCCAACCCACTGGTTGCAAGGTGGCCGAATCGATGGTATGCGTCGCTTTTGTCGTACTACCGCCGCCGTGCCATGTAAACTAGCCTCAGCAGTACTCGGCTATGCCCTACCACACATCCACGAGGGGGCAGTGCTATGTGGATCATCGGATGATATGAACATTTTCGCGGTTTTCTCGAGGAGAACACATTTGGAGAGTACTTCATGGATACCAACAGATAGCTCACGTTGTGCTCTAGAGAATCATGTCATGTGTAGGCCAATAGCAGGTTGCTAGGAGTGGTAGTGGGTGGTCTTTGCTCGAAATCGTCGAGAACGCCCACATAGATGCGATTCAAAAGTTTTGATTCAAAATATATAGATTTAGTATTGTAAAAATATAAAAAATAATGTGGGAATAAAGTAGTTGAACTTTGTACGTATACTACAAGATAAATTATATAAAATTGATATTTCGGTCGTTTGAGGACTTGTTTTTTTACATCCTGCTATTTCTTGCCGCCTGCCATGCGAATGACAACTATGATTGACTTTGATGTGATCCCAAGTCACCCGAGTACCGACAGCGGCCTCAAGGTCCAGTAAAACACGATCTGCATCACTTCGGCGGCCTATAGGGCCAGTCGGGGCATCCCCACAGCGACCCCATGGACAGCCCATAGAAATACTACAGGACCGTTCCCCGACCGTTCCCCGAACGTTCCCAAATGCGACCGTTCCCAGAACGTTCCCAAATGCGAACGGTCGGGGGACGCTCGAGCGTCCCCCGAACGTTCGCCAAAATAGCGTTCTGGGAACGGTCCCGGAACGCTATCCCAAGAACGCGATGTGACCATCGGGCTCGGTCCAGGTCCAGCTCAGCTCGCCACGTTCCTCCTCTATACGCACTCTCTATGAACACCACTAAACCTTTACGAACATCAACGGTTGCCCCAAGGACAGAGCAATGTGCTTACTGCCTCGTAAGCGCCATGCACGTTTCCAGTCTCGAGAAATCGTGAGGGAAAAACGGGATGGAGCCGAGCGCGTCCTGGGTGGGACTCACTCCCCGTCCTCGAGATACTGGTGTGGCGCCAAGAGACGCGGCGGATACAGGGCAAACGGCTCCAAGCGCCGTGGGACAAACCGGGCGAGAGATTCGTTGGCTTTGGGGTGGCGACGGCCGCGATACACGTGGATGAGGACGCGCTGAGGATGGGAAGATTTGCGGACGCGGATGTACGAGACAATGTTGTCGGACCGGGCGCGAAACGATACCTGAACCGAGGCATCGTTCGCTATCGACCGCCACCCCCCGGTCGACCGCCACTTGACCGGCGGCACGCCCATGGGATCGCACTCGGGATTGAGCTCGGGCACCGCTGACTTGGGCATCCGTGGCACAACATACTCGACAACGTCGTCTCGGACGTGCTCGACGAGCTCAATTAGAAACAGCCGCCCCACCAGCTTCTCGAGACAGGTGGGAAGCAGGCTGAAAGTCGGGATGTTGAGGAGTGAGCCGAGCGAGTTGGAGAGACATCCCATGAGGAAGATGTAGTCCTCGCCGCGGAGACGGACAGGCAGCCGCCCGCGCTGGATGACAATGTGCATGTGCGGCGGCTGATGCATGAACATGTGGGTGGCCCGAGTTGCCGCATTCGTCGCACCCGTCTCGAGCACCTCGCTTGCGCCGGCCACAACCTGCGAAGAAGCCCGCCCCGACGATGCCCGCAGCGAACCAGTCCTGCGCTGGCCATTGACGCCGTGGGTCGTGTGAGCATCCTCGATAAGCGACAGTTCGAGGTCGAGGTCGACGGAAATCGGCGGCGCCGAGAGCATGAATGTCGGCGATTCGCTGTCACCGTCGTCATGGAGTTGCAGCGATGGTGGAGCCGATGGTGCGCCTACGCTTGCCGCCAAGCTCTGACGACCCACAGCGGGCTCGACAGGAAGCCGGTTGGCAAGCAATGCGGCGGAAACTGCCGGCGATGAGACTCGCAGCGGCCGCCGAGGATCAAACGCTCGCAGCGGCAAGTCTGTGCTGAGCGAGACAGAGACCGGCAGCGGAGCGCCGACCGCAGCAGACGACGGCGACGCTGACGAGAGACCAGCTCTGGCTATGCCGAAGCCCAGGCCCATACCAGGTGCAGAACGCGGCCCAGTGGAAGACAACCGCGAGCCAAGTAGTCGCGGTCGCTTGGCACGCGGAGGGTGTAGCAGCGCAGGCTCGCTGCTACGGACGTCGGGATCGGGCGCGACCCCATTAACCAACGGCACCAAGCCTGGCGATGGCGGCCCAGCGGCTCCCCGCGCCCGCTTGGCAGCCTTGGCCTTGGCGCGTGCGCGATCACGGACCCGCTGCTCGGCTTGGGCGCGCTTGTGCTGCTTGACGAGGTGGCGGCGGCGGCGGCGAGCAAGGGCCTCGACACGGTCGCGGGTGACGGCAATCCACGAGTGCGGCTCAGAGATGTCAATCTGGCAGCTGGCGCAACAGAGAGCGACAAGACGCTGGCGCACCGCGCAGTGTGGACAGACAATGGTGAAGACGAGCGGGAGCTCGGAGCGACACTCGGGGCACTGGACGAGTGCCGGTAGGTGCAAGACGCCGCAGGCGGCACACTCGCGCGCAACGCCCAGCGTCAGTGCCAGAATACGCGGCACGGCATCGCCAGGCACGGCCACATCCTCCTCAGCGTACGTCACCACCCGGCGGGTGTTGCCCGGATCAGACGCCAAAGAGTACACACGACGGACAATGGGCCGCCCACTCTCGGCCGAGTGCCACAGCGAGACAGCGGCCGACGCGTTGCGCGACGGCGGTGGAAGCTGGTGCCACAGCGGACCAAAGGGATCAACCCGCGCCAGCGCCTCGTCCGGCTCGATCTCGGCAGCCTGGCACATGATGGCCGCGCCGCGGCAGAGCTCGGCAAGCAAGCCGTCGGTGGCGAGTTGGCGGGCAAAGGGAACGCGGAAGGCGTATCCGGTCTCACCCTCGGACTCGAGCACGTCGATGATGGACGGCCAGGGGTCCTGCCGATCGCGGACCAGCGTCCGCAGCAGGTCGCGCTTCTGGATCGACTGTCCGAGAAGCGAGGAGTGCATGGCTGTGGAGGGGGGGGGAGGGGGGGGGGACCGGGGGGGGTGGGGAGGGTGGTGTGTGTAGGGGTGGATGCAGAGGGGTGGGGTTGCCCGGAGGGCGGCTGCAGGTGGGGCCAGTCCCAGGTGAAGAAAGAGAGGTGTGGGTAGCGCAGGTGCAAGGTGCTAGGAGCAAGGGTCGCACCGCCAATGCCGCTGGCCATCACGGCCGCCCCTGCCCACGAAGACGGCGAACGCGTCCGGTCCGAGTCCGAGTCGGGCACCACTCGTCGCAGACCGCCCGCACCATGGCTGCCAAGATCGAGTCCATGCTGCAGGACTGCATGTCGTCTATCCTAGCCAACGACGATGTCAACACCACCGACCTCTACCCGACCATCATCGAGGTACGGCCATGGTCCTTCCCCATCCCATACCATACCTCTTCCCTCCCCCCCCCCGTCGCCTGCCTGCGGCATCCATCCACCACTCACACCCTCCCTCCTCCCCACCCCCCCCCCCTTCCCTCCCCGCCACAGCTCATCATGGAAGACGTCAGCGAAGAGGTCCCCGAAGACGCAGAGTCAGTACGCACCCTCTCCATTCCCCTCTCTCCTCCCCCTCCTCCTCCCCCCTCCCCCGCTCTTCCCCCCAACTCACCATGCGCTCCTTTCGGCTCTTCTTCACCTCGTCGTCTTGTCAGCTCGCCGAGGTCGTCCGCACCGTCCTGGTCGATGATTTCGAGGCCGAGATTGACGACAAGGCCTTCCAGCGGTTTGTGAACAAGGTGTTCCCGTCGGCAGCGGCGGCCAAGGCAACGACGTCGCGAACGGCGGCTGCGCGGCAGAAGAAGCTCGAGGCCGCGGCGCGCAAGGCCGAGCGCCAACAGTTGGAGGCCGACATCCTGGCGTCGGAAGGCAAGGGCAAGGCTGGCGCCGACTCGGACGACGAGTCGGATACCGGGCTCAACATGGGCGAAGACATCATCATCGACTCGTTCAACATCTTTATGGGCGGCGCGCAGCTCTACCGCGAGGCGTCGATCACGCTCGCCAAGGGCAACCGCTACGGCCTGGTCGGCCCCAACGGGTCCGGCAAGACCACGCTGCTCAACCACATTGCCCGCCGCGAGGGCGACTTCCGCATCCCGTCGTACATCGACACCATGCTTGTGGAGCAGGAAATCGAGTTCAACGAGCTCTCGGCCCTCGAGTTTGTCATTCGCTCTGACAAGCGCCGCCTCAAGTACCTGACCAAGAAGGAGGAGCTCGAAGCCAAGCTAGAGACCATGGGCGACGGCCGTGCCGCGGACGCCCTCTCCTCGGAGCTCAACAAGGTGTACGAGAAGCTGCAGGACATGGGCTCTGACTCGGCCGAAGCCCGCGCCTCCGCCATCCTCTCCGGTCTCCAGTTTACCGAGGAGATGAAGGCTGCAGCGACGACCTCGTTCTCTGGAGGCTGGCGCATGCGCATCTCGCTCGCCCGTGCGCTCTTTATCGAGCCGCGCCTCCTGCTCCTTGACGAGCCGACGAACCACCTCGATCTGCACGCTGTCATCTGGCTCGAGTCGTACCTGCAGACCTACCCGCACACGCTGCTTGTTGTCTCGCACGACCGCGACTTTCTCGCTCAGGTCACCACCCACACGTACCATGTGTGGAATCAGGGCCTCACCCTGTACAAGGGCAACTACGACCTGTTTGAGGTCCGCTTCCAGGCCTTTGTCGACGAGTACAACGCAAGCATCGTGGCCAAGGACAAGCGCATTGCCCGCGAGAAAAAGTCCGGCAAGTACGTGCCGCAAGAGGGCGACAAGGCGAAGATCATCCGCTTCAAGCCCATCAAGCTCCAGTTTGACGAGCCGACCCAGCTCTCCATGCCGCTGGTCTCGGTCTCCAACGTCTCCTTTGGCTACCCGGGGTGCGACACGCTGTTCGAGGACGTCTCGTTTGGCATTTCCATGTCGTCGCGCATTGCCCTTGTCGGCCCGAACGGAACCGGCAAGTCGACGCTGCTCAAGCTCATCACCGGCGAGCTCGAGCCACGCCAGGGCGAGGTTATGCTCGCGCGCAAGCTCCGCATCGGCCTCTTCTCGCAGCACTTTGTCGACCAGCTCGACATGAACGCTAACCCGATCCAGTACCTCGCCGCCAAGTTCCCCGAAAAGAACGAGCAGAAGATCCGGCAGTACCTCGGCATGTACGGCCTCAAGTCGGCCCAGCACAAGCAGGTCATCTCCACTCTTTCTGGTGGCCAGAAGTCGCGTGTCGCCTTTGTCGAGCTCTCCTTCTCCAACCCGCACATCATCATCCTCGACGAGCCAACCAACAACCTCGACCTCGAAACCACCGACGCCCTCACCGCCGCGCTCTCCCAGTTCAAGGGAGGCGTCGTCCTCGTCACCCATTCGCCGTCGCTCATCTCGGGCGCCTGTAATGAGGTCTGGATTTGCGACCACGAGAAGAAGGTCAACACATACCCGGGCACCTTTGACGAGTACCGTGAGGATCTCATCCACGAGATGCGCGAGCTGCTCCGCGAGATGGACGAGGAGCGCGCCAACAAGTCGCGCGGCGGCAAGGGCAAGGGTAAGGGCAAGGGTAAGGGCAAGGGTAAGGGGGGCAAGGGCAAGGCCAACGCTGAGGAGCCTGCCGGTGGCCCGTCTGACGTCGACCCCGATGTCGAGGACAAGTACGGCGACGTAGTCGGTGCCGCTCGCCTCTGGACCAACCCCTCAATCGAGGCCTTTGCCGTCCTCCACCGCACCCTGCCGGACCTGCTCAAGCGCCCGGGCATGGTCAAGTTTGAGCCGTTTGTGGCTTCGCCTGAAGTCGAGCTCGCCCAGGTCTTTGCCGCCCTCGACGACGCCTTTGCCTATGCCAACATCACCCTCGCCTTTATGAAGGAGGCGCCGGCCAAGAAGAAGAAGCGCCGCAAGAAGAAGGGCTCGTCGGCGACCGCTGACAAGGCCGACGAGCCGGCACCGACGCCGTCGTGGGCCGTCAACGCTTTTGTCCAGGTCCCGGCCCTCGAGTGGTTCTACAAGGTCAACCCCAAGGCCAAGGCCGTCCTCAAGTACCTCGACAAGATCCTGGGCTCGTTCTTCTCGCTCGACCCGGTCCGCGTCGCCAAGGCCGCCTTTGTCAACGAGGCCATCCTCTCCAAGCTCTCCAAGGCCGTCACCATCTGCGCCTCGGACATCTCGGGCACCGAGTGCGCCGACTTTACCGTCGAGCCTGACGGCTGCATCTCGCAGCCGGCGTGCAGTGCCAAGCACGTCCGCGGCCACGAGGGCCTCGCCGTCTCGCGTCTCTGCACCGCAAACATGGTTGCCGAGTCTGGCTGCTCCGCCCGCGGCTGCAAGCACTCGCACGCCCTCAAGGGTGGCCTCCGCCGCGGTGACTGGTACGTCAACTCGACAAACACCGACGTGGTGTCGGGTGATGGCTGGGCCGTCACCTGTGAGGCCGGTAACGTCCCCGGCCAGCGCCTCAAGCAGGTTTCCCTCACCGTGGGCGACGGCTCCGTCCCGGCCCGCGACCTCCTCGCCCTTCCCGCCACCAAGGACGCCATCGCTGCCGCCATCGACGCCCTTGGCCTGCCCTTTGCCACCGTCTGGGTCGAGTCGTCCACCTCTTCCAACTTTATCGTTGTTCCCGACACCCCCGACTGGGACGACCTTGTCGCCCGCTTCCCCTCGCTCGCCCACCTCGGCGCCCCGCGCCACGAGCACGAGCTGTGGGAGGCTGTCTCGCTTGCACGCTCGCCCATCGTCTCGCAGCTCCTGCTCGGTGACGATGAGGAGTAAAACCGCCCCATGCAGGCCGGGGCCCGTACCACGTACAACCAACCCATCGCTTTAGTTTGCTCTATCCGCAGCATCGGCCGCTCCAGCTTCAGCTCCAGCTCCAGCTCCGCCACTGCTGCTTGCGCCACTCGCGCCGGCCTCACCACCGGTGGATACCGGAAACAGCTCTGCAAGCTCGGGCGTGATTCGTGCAACAATCTCCGACCGCATGGCGGGGACCCGACCAAGAATGGCGTCGGTCACGTCCCTTGGCAACCGCAACGCACGAAGCTCCTCCATGATGGTGCTCTCGTGCTCGACTGCTGTCCGCATCTCGCGGACCTTGCGGACGCAGAGCTCGCGAAGCGTTGGCACGGTGATGTTCCACTTGCGGACCGTCCCATCTTGCGACGACGAGAGGAGCACGCCACGAGTGAGCTGGACTAGCGAGACAACCGAGCTAAAGTGCCCGTCAAAGACCTGGACACATGCCCCAGTCTGCGCCGACCACCGTCGGATTTGCCCGTCACCCGAGCCCGAGAGCAAGTGGCGTCCACCAGGCTCCACCTCGAGGCACTGGACTCCACGCAAGTGACCGCGGTAGACCATGATACAGGCAAAGTGGCCCGCGACTCGCCACGCCCGCACAGTGCAGTCGTCTGAGCCCGAGTAGATGACTGGGAACGGGTGAACGCCGTCGGGCACAGGATCACCAGGATGAAAGCCAGAGCTGTAGTCGAGGCGGAGATGAGAGGCCAGGCCCGAGAGCGGGCGGACCACTCCGTCCGGTGAGGTGACCAGCGCCGAGTTGGAGATGTCGACAGCGGAGAGTGGCTCAGTGGCAAGGCAGACCACAGACTTGCGGTGGCCTGTGAGATGGCCGACCTGCGTCCCAGCCTCCACGCTCCAAACCCGAATGTCGTGGTCAAACGAGCCTGAAAACATGTACCCGTCGACCATAAGCATGCACTTGATCGACTTGGTGTGTGCCGAGTAGAGATGGACTGGCCCGCGAACGTGCATGTCCCACGAGATGATGGTGTGGTCGTACGAGCCCGAAAAGAGTATGCCGCGGTGGACACACAGCTTCTGGATGCTCTTGTGGTGCCGCCGGAGCCGGGCAACCGCCTCACCGCCCAGTCTCCACTTGCGGATCGTCTTGTCGAGCGAGCCCGAGAACACCGCACCGTCGTCTTCGCTAACCACCAGCGCAAAGACAGTCCGCGAGTGTCCCATCATCTTGGTCAGCAGCTCGCCAGTCTCCACATCCCAAAGATAGATCGCCGCCCCCGCCCCGGCTGCCCACAGCCGCGAGCCCGATACTCTCAACACGTTGATGTCGTCGGTGCACCCCGTGTACCGCTGGATGCAGATGCCGGACGCCAAGTCCCAGCGGTACAACTCAGCGCCGTGCGAGAAAAAGAGAGAGCCCGAGTTATCATCGACATACATACAGGTGGCATGCGACTCGCGGTTGTCAAACTTGATGAGATGCTCTCCGGTCGCCACGCTCCACTTGGAGACCGTCCCGTCCTCCGACGCCGAATACAGCACCCGTCCGTCGGTCTCCACAGCCCGAATCGTCCGCGAGTGGTGGTCGCGAAAGGTCTGAACGAGTTGGCCCGAGACAAGGTCCCACTGGCACACACACTTGTCCATCGACGATGAAAACAGGAACCGCTCATGGATCTTGAGATCGAAAATGGTCTTGCAATGCTGCACCCACACCGCAACGCACTCGCCAGTGGCCAGATCCCACTTGCGGACCGTCTTGTCCTTGTTGGCCGTGTACAGATAGTTGCCGTCGCGGACCATAAACTGCGTCGACGTTCGCCGCTGCGGAACCTTGAGCACTTGCAGCAGCGACCCGTCATGCACACTCCACACGCAAATCGACTTGTCGTTCGATGCCGTAAAGAGCGAGTTCTCATCGGCCTCCATGCAGTGGATATGCTTGATGTGGCTCTCCATTACTTTCCACGGTCGCATGATAGGTGTCGTACCCAGTGGTGAGGCCGGTGGCTCAGATCCAACCAGCTCGACCCCGCTCTCATCCTCTTCCTCGGTCTCGTCCTCTTCTCTTTCGCCAAGCACCTCGTCGCCACCTCCGCTGACGCCTACTCGGCCTTCGTCCACCCCACCTCCTGTACCCCCAGGCCTGTCCGGCGCCTCGTGGCTAGCATCGCTGCTCGACATCTCGCCGTCAAACACCAAATGCCGCGGCCGGCCGCTAGCTTCGCCTCCTCCGCCTAGCTGGTCCGACCACGGGCACCGCCACAGGTACACACGCCCATTGAAGGCACCGGCAAAGATGCCCGGCACCCCATCCTTGACCAGCGCTGAAGTCAAAACATCGCCCGGCCCGACATATCGCATCAGACATGCACCCGTCTGTCGCACGCCACGTCCCGTCCATCCGTCCCGTCCATCCGTCCCGTCCATCCGACCCGCGCCTGCCGTGAGTCCCTCCCAACCCGCCACCTGCGGAATAGACCAAGTGCCAACCTGCCCACACACGCCCGACACACACACATCCGCACACCCACATCCACACACCATGGGCCACCTCCTACCTCCCACACCCACTCTGCATGCCTATTCTCCTGCCATACACCCCCTGCCTTCCCCCCCCCTCCCCACACTTCCCGCCCAGCCCCGTGGAACATGGCGAACACTCGGCGGGCAAGTGGAACACCCGCTGCCACTCCCACCACCCTCCCCCCCCCCCACCCCGACCTCCCCCCCCCCCCCCCTCCACCCACAGGGGCCTACCTCGATGTCCCAGCGACGGAGCGAGCGGTCGACAGCCGAGGCTGAGACCAGGGCGCCGTGTGTGAAAAAGAGCCAGTCGACGTCTGCGTAGTGGCCGAGGAAGGAGCAGATGACGGTGCCGGATATGAGTGAGACGGCGACCAGGTTGCCAGCCTCGCCGCCGAGATAGACCACGTCCCGAGGGCCATTGATGAGCGCCGTGAGCCTGAATGGCACACGCGCCTCCACCACCAGTCCATCCGTCTCCTTGTCGTACACAAACACCCGTCCCTCGCTCTTGAGGCCCACCGTGACCGTCGTCTTCTGCAGTGCTACAAGCGCCATCCTGGCCGCCTAAGCACAGGTGAGTCAAGTGCTGCCTGCCGACCTGGCAAACTGAGCGGTGCAACTCGCCCTCGGTTGCCCGAGCCACCATCAAGCATGGTCATGACTTGAACATCGCGGGTTCTACACAACTGGAAATGGCGACACGATCAATGGCCACCCATGATGGACGCCGACGAATGCGATGGATGTCAACCAACCACCTCTTGATGCAGAACCCAGCCGATACCAAAGACTACAACGTATGCAGAGGGCCAAACCAGTTCCATCCGGCTGTCACAGCATCATCTAGCCACCTCGGCTATCGCCGCCCATTCTTCTTACCTGACTCGATTGATCTGTTTCTCCATTCCTTCTCTTCTGACCGAACAACCTCGTCATCCTCTCATCCCTCCGTCTCGAGCATGATTGATCACGGACAAAATGTCGATCTACCGCATCCCCGCCCCCGAGCTGGAGCGATCAGCCCTGCTCTGCAATGGGAGTAAGCAGAGGAAGTAGTATGCTTGTGTTTGTTTACACATAGAAAATGGAGCACTGTGGCGGCGGATCGACGTCATTGGCCATGTCCATTCCAGGCCGGCATCGGCGTGGTCGATTCCAGCAGGGAAACCGAGTGCGCGAATGAGTAGCTCGAGCTGTGCATGAGGAGGAGGTACCTGTTCAATGGTGGATCTGTCGCACTAATGGGTTGCCAGCCAGGCGTCGAGCTGGGCCTCGACAAACTTGCGCGCAGCGAGGAGCGACGGCGGATCGTCGGGCGATGCAGCGTTGAGCGTGGCGCAGTGGCCGGCCTCGTAGGTCACAGCCTTGACCTTGGAAGGGGCCGGAAGGTCGGAGGAGATGGAAAGGAGATGCCACGGGTCAAGGAGGCCGTTGGTAAAGACGACGTTGTCGGCGACGAGGTTCTTGCCGCCGTAGTTGGCGTTGGTCCACTCGATCTGCGGAGCGAGGCCGTCGATGCCGTAGATGGCCTCGCAGAGCGGGACGATGCGGTCGAGGCCGAGCGAGTACGAGGGGAAGAAAATAGACGAGCCGTTGACTGAGGTCTTAAAGTAGCCAAACTCGGTGCACTTCTGCCACCACCACGAGCGGTTGGGGTTGTCGGGACGGGCCATGTCTGCAATAAAGTACGACTGCGAAAGGTGGACACACGAGTTGCCACCGGGACGCGCAGTGTAGATGTTCTCCGAGGTGGCCACAATCTTGGCAAAGGCAGCAATCGGGTCTGACTCGGCGGCGAGGATGTCGCACGCCTCAGTCAGGGTGTTTTCCGGGACCGAGTTGGAGAACTGGTCGGCGGTGCCGACAGCCAGAGCCACGTTCCACAGGAACCAAAAGACGTCGTCGTCGGTGAGCGGCTCGCAGGTGTTGAAAGCAGTCGAGAGCGCCGCGAGGCCGGGCTGGCCTCGGGCAAGCTCGGCCTCGATGGCGGCGGATCCAGCCTTGGCGGCAGCCACGCACGGAGCGGGAGCAGCGTGCTCGAACCAGGCCAGAAAGTCCGACTGGTCGAGGGTGGCCTGGACCGGGCCCGAGGGGCAGACGGCGCCGACAACAAGGTAAGGATGGCGGGTGCGGAACCAGGCGGCGAGGCCGGCCGAGTACGAGCAGCCGACAACGACCCAGGGGCCCGGAGCCATGCCGCGGGCCTCCAGATCGGCGTTGAACCAGACAGCAAAGGCAGCGGCATCGGCCAGCGCCTGCTCGGAGGAGAGCAGCGAGAGGCCGGGGGTGGCAAAGTCGGGCGCTGGCATGGACTGGCCGTAGAAGCGGTGCTCGAGGACCACAAACATGCCTCCGCGCTGGGCAGCCCAGAGCTGAGCCTGGACCTCCTGGAACTCAAAAGCCTCCATGGGTGCCTCACCCGAGAGGAAGAAGAAGATGGGCCCGCCCTTGCGGTAGTGCGTCGCGTTCACCGTGTACCGCTGGCTGAAGGTCGCCGTGTTGCTGTTGTCAAAGTGGTCCGTCTTCTGCTGGAACGTCGACGGCGACGTGTTGCCCTGCGCCACCGCTGCCGCACACAGTGCCACGCACACCATAGCAAGCATGGTCGTACTCGGCGTCATGGCTGAGGGTGAGTGGGAGATGAGTGGGGTCCCGGGGTGGGGGAGGGGTGGGGGTGGGGGGTGGGGTGGGGGGGGGGGGGGCGGGAGGGAAGCACGTGATGATTGTATGTTTGTTCGTCGGTTTGTCAGTCGGTGGCTCTGGTCGGCAGCTGGCGGGTCGACGACTGGTTGGTCGGCGTGTTGATGATGGTATGCAAGGTCTCAGGTAGACGAGTTTAAGTTGATGATGGTCAGGTCGTGGAAGTTGGTTGGTGGTGGTCAGTTTGTGGATGCGGCTAGGTGGATGATTCGTCTCCGTCGCCGTTAGATGATTCTTCTCCTTCGTCGCCGGATGATTCGGCGTTGGCGCCGTCGTTGCTAGCGTTGTCAACATGGCACATCCCATCCTCGTTCTCGGCCCCGTCTCGAGCATCAGTCGACGACGGCCCGGCGTCCGCTGGTGGCTTGACGAGGTCAAGGAGGGCAGGCGTGAGTCCGCTATCGGCGCGGAGGGTGAGGATCGGAGCGAGGGCATCGGCAAAGGCGTCGTAGGTCTCGGGTCCGGTCGGGTCGAGGATGGAGAAAGCAACAATGTCAAAGACACCCGCAAAGCGTGGGAGGGCGAGGGCTGCGGAGAAAAGGCGGGCGATGTCGTGCGGCGGGTTGGCGTACACGCCGCACCCGATGGGCGAGGCCACAAAGATCCTCGGCCGCGGCGAGTTGCCCGAGACCTCGACCGCCATGTCGAGCCACGACGCAATCTTGGCAAGAGTCAGTCGGCGCTCCTTCTTGCCCAGACGTGCGGACGGACCCGTGCCTTCGATCGGTGGGGCTTTGAATGCCCAGCCAACTACCATCGACACAAACGCCGGGCGCTCCAGGAAAGGGTAGCCTGATGGCTCCGAGCCGCGAAAGACGCACGCCGCCGGAATAGCGAGCCCGCCGACCTGCGGCAGCGGATATCTCCACTGCGCGCCCGAAACAACAGAGTAAGGGTCTTCCAGCGCCTCGACAATCGACGTCCGCCGGTGCAGATTCTCTTCTAGTGCCGCAGCGCCCTTCTTCCAGCCGCCGCCTGGCATGTTGTACGAGCCGTTAACGAGGACACAGACGTTGCGCGCCGACGCGCCGACTGCGCGCTGCAGCGCCAGAGCAGTCTCGAGCACATCCCCTTGGATGAGACACACCTGTGTCTGCAGCGGGACCTCACCGGGCTTCACGTCACGCCCGAACCACTCGTCGACTTCGGCCAGCAGTGAGCCACGCAATGACGCCGGGTCCGCAGCGGCCTCGGCCTCGTAGTCGACACACACCGTGCCGCGCGCAGCCTTGTCAAGCCGCTTACGGGCAAGATGCACCACGTCTCCGTCTGGCAGTGTGTACCATCCGCGGAGGAGCGTGCCAAGCGTCCCGATCTGAACCATCTTGCGCAGCGCCCGCCCGTACTGCGGGCCCGATCCGGCCGTGGCCTCAGCCGCCGCACGCCATGCATCCGGATCAAACCGCATCCGCAGCGCCTCCCGCAAATGGTCCTCGCTCAGCAGCGCGTTACTGTCGGCATAAAACTCCTCGCCCGCCACGCCCGCCTCCTTGCGCGTCGCCGCCGTCCGGGTCACCCCAAATGGCACCGCCTTGCGCTGCCCGCTAGCGCCACCTCCTGCGCCATCGGCTCCACCCTTGCCCGGCCCACGCGCCCGCCGGCCCTTGCCCTTGCCCTTACCCCCTCCGCCGCCTCCGCCGCCCCGCCGACCCTTGCCCTTCCCGCTCGTCCGGCCCTTCCCACCCTTGCCGCTCGTTCTGCCCTTCCCGGCTCTCCCGCTGGCCTCCCCGGCACCGTCTCCGCTCCTGCTCCTGCTCCCGTCCTGGTCCGCGCTCCGCTCCGCTCTCCCGCGCCTGCCCTTGCGCCGTCCCATCGTCGAATCTATGTCCTGGTACCAAGTGCGGTGTGTCGCCACCCGCGTGCCCCCCCCCCCCCCCCCCCCTCCCCCCCTCTCCGGTGTGTCGGTGACGTGCCCGTGACCCAACACGGCCGGCTGTCTGTGCGACACGAACTGTCTGTTGATCTGTTTGTTTGAGAAGGTGATGGTGATGGTGATGGTGGTGGTGATGGTGGTGGTGTTGGTGGTGATGGTGATGGTGATGGTGGTGGTGATGGTGGTGGTGATGGTGGTGTTGGTGATGGTGGTGGTGATGGTGGTGGTGATGGTGGTGGTGTTGGTGGTGATGGTGGTGGTGATGGTGGTGGTGATGGTGGTGGTGATGGTGGTGGTGATGGTGATGGTGGTGGTGATGGTGATGGTGGTGGTGATGGTGGTGGTAGTGGTGGCAATGATGACGATGACCGTGATGATGACGATGACCGTGATGATGACGATGACCGTGATGATGACGATGACCTTTAACCATGATGATGACAATCATATCATCATCACCATCATCGTGCTCGTCATGAAGAGGATACCCCATCACCACGGTCGCCATCACGACGACGACCACCATCTCGACCACCATCATCGCCACCACCATATCACAGTCCATGCAGCCAGCCATGCTTCTCCACCGACCATGCCAGCCAGTGGCTCCCCAGTGGCCCCAGCCCAGCCCCCCAGCCCAGCCCAGCCCACCCCCCCACCCCCACCCCCCACCCCCCACCGCACCCCACTCCCCTTGCGGGCCACATGGCCTCCCCGCCCTCGCCCCGGGACGGACGACCGTCGTCCCCTGCGCCCATGGTCCTCTTCATCGACTCGTCCTCGTCACGCTCGCCCACGCCGCCGCCACCCTCTGCCACCGCCACCGCCACCGCTACCACCTCCAGGGCCAGGGCCAGGGCCAGGGCCAGGGCCCCAGCCACGGCTACGGGCACTGCTGCGGGCACGGCCACGGCATCTGCTCACCCACCGCCCAAGCTGCGCTCGGTGCCATCGGTCATCTCCATCGATTCGCAGTCGACTGCTCCCTCGCCGCCCGCATCGCCGACATCGCCGACATCGCCGACATCGCAGCCATGGCAGACTCGAGAGGGGTTGGCCGAGGGTGAGGTGAGTGGCCCGGGCTTGGCGCTCGATCAGGTTGCTCAGACCGTGGCTCAGTTTGTCGCCGTGGCGACGCATGCCTTTCTGCATCATCGCGCCGTCTATCCACGCCACTCGTTCACGCCCACCACCATGTACGACGTCCACACCGTCGTCTCGCGCTACTCTGAGCTCTGCACCTACATCGACGAGCTGACCAGCGCACTCGTTCCCTGGATGCTCTCTGCTCGTCTTGCGCAGGTCCGCATCGTGGTCTTTGCCGACATTCCGGGCCTGCTATGGGATACTGTCGAAGAGTGCGACGCAGCCGATCGTTCCCAGGGCGGCCCGGGCGTCGTCGACGAGGTTCTTGTGATCGAGCTGGCACCGCTGATGGTCGCCGCTCATGCTGCACCATGCGTTGATGCCCTGCATGATGTTTTCGGTGCGGCGCTTGCTCGCCTCCGCGATGGTGCACCGCCTGCCTCGTGCTCGCGCCCCGGTCCGCGCCTCTTTCAGATCAAGCCTGTCACCGTCGACACCGGGTGCACCGGCGGCAGTGTCTCGTCGGCCGACCCGGAAAAGCACTTTGTTGTCTCGTCGTCGTCGGCCGACCCGGATCTGGCCCATACTGGCGGTCTTCCGCACTCGGCACTCTCGCCTTCCGCTTCCATCGCCCCACTGCTCTCCTCGGTCCTCCCAGGCACCCATCTCGTCCTCAATATGTTCCGCTTTACCCCCGGGTGAACCAGCGAACGAGGTTGCACTCACACCGACGTCAGATCTGCCGATGCCAGGCCGTCCGCTGCCGAAGCCATCGCAGCCGAATCCACGGCTGTTGCGAGGCTGCCGATGCTGTCAACACCAAACTCGGTGCCGACTTGAGCGGTGTGTATCTTGCCGTTTCCCGCGATGCCTAAATCGACCGAAGTCATGGTCACTGCCGACGACGTCGGGCTCTCCGTCTCACCCTGATCCATGCGGAAGACGCCGTCGGTGTAGAATTCGTCGTCGGCCTCCTTCTCCTCAAGCCTCAGCCTCCATAGGTCGAGTATGCTGCCGGTCACCATGGCTATGATTGTCACAATCACTCCCATGATCACCCCGGTCCTCCGCAGCGCAAAGTCACGGAATGTGCCCGCGTACAGCACCAGCGTAGTGGCTGCGAGCACCACCATGGCCGCGTGGTTGTGGAGAGCGCAGCCGTACGGCGAGCTGAGCATGACATGCGCAAGCGACGCTGCAAGCACGAGCACTGCCGCGTTGGCCTTGCCCGGCTGAGTGGAGAAGAATGTCATGCAGATCACAACCCCGACCTTGCGCGCCATGATCATCGCCTCGTACCACCACTTGTCACGCTCGAATCGCCCGACAAGGAAGCCGAACTTGAGCACGTATGCGATCTCGTCCAGCCGCTGCCGCTGCGTGTACAGCACGTACACCACCAGGCTTGGAATGCCAATCGCATACACACACACAAACAGCAGGCCCGGCACAAACAGCCCGCCCCACCACGCTGACGTGAAGCACGTTCGCGCTGGATCCGCTGCAAGCACCCACCGCCCAGATTCGTCGCGATAGCAACCAAAGACTGAGAACGCCGCGGCCGTGAGCGGCAGATACAGCAAAACCACAAGCTGGAAGAGGCTTCGTCCGCACGCGGACACCAGCGCGGCCATCGTCCGCGTCCGCAGCGGAGTCAGCCTGGCCTTGATTACCCCAGCGTAGCCGACGCCGACCGCAGCCACCATACAGGCGGCAAAGACAGGAAGCAGGAGGGTGAGCCAGAGCTTGAGCACCCACACATCGGTTCCACCCGCAGATGAGCACTCCGGCGACGCAAGCGCAAAGTCGACGTTCATCGCAGACGCCACGTCAAAGTATGTCGTTGCAAACGTGCCCCAGTCCAGCTGCAGCTGCCCGAAAATCGCAGAAATCTGCAGTGCGTTGAGCCCGATCATCACCGAAGCAAATTTGTAGTTGATGGCCTCGGCGAGATTGAACCCGATAAGGACCGCGGTCACGCCTGCAGCACCGATGAGGAGGAGAAGCACCACTACTCCAGTTCTTCCGCTCGAACACTTGCGGCAACTGCCGCCCATCCGATAGTACCCATCGGCGCATTGCGCGCACAACCGCGAGGTGTATCCTGCTGCACACTGCCCGGATCCGGTGCACGCCGAGGGTTGCGGGCACGAAATGAATAGGCCGGGATTGCTCGCGTCCGGAAAGAAGCCCGGCGCCGCCTGCGGCTGCCCAAGCCCGCCGCTACAAAGCGCCCCGACAGGGCACGCCTCGCACGCCACGTCGTACTTGGCAACTGCGGTCCAGAACCCAACCTTGCACTCGCATCGGGCCGTGCTGTTGGTCGTTGCGGCTACCCGAAGCGTGTGGATCGGGCACTCAGCGAGCGGCACACAGCCTGCAAGCCCGCCCTCCGACGGCGATCGCAGCCCGGCGCCGCACGGCGCGCACACAACGACAGGCTCGGCTCCGGCTCGCTGGACTACCACTCCGCCCGATCCGGGACCACATACTGTGATGTTGAACACACCCACCAGCGGAGCCACCGTACTGCTGCTTCCTGCATCCACTTGCCATCGCACAGCGGCTGGAATGTTACCGGCTTGCGACAGCCGGACCTGCGCCACCACCTCGGGTGCGGTGTTGAAATCGGCGACCAGCGGAACTGTCACTGCGGCTGGCATGATCACCGACTCGGGGACCTCAAACTGCCACACAGGCGTTATTGCCTTGTTGCGCATTGCGCTACCGAGCCAGTCAACGCCACCCAAAACGCCGACGGCTGGAAGCCCGGGCTCAATCAGAGTCGCCGGTGCCTCGGCCCACCGAAGCTCAGCCAGTGATCCGGTGATGTACGCCTGTGCCAGTGCCGCAAACCCGGCATCGTCCATCCGCAGCCACGGAAGCGCAGAAGATTCGGTCCGCGACGGTGTTGCGGCGAGGCTGTCAACAGCGCACACCCAGCCGTCGCTCTCGGCGTTGCTCCAGCTGCTACTGCTGCCCGTGATCGCCGCAGCGATGCCGCAAGCAAACATGCCTCCGCCGGCCGCGCGGCCTACGTTGCCGGTCATCTGCACGTCGTCAACGGTCACCTTCACCGCGTTGCCTAGGGCAGCCGTCGCATAGCTTGCATCAAGCCACGGCAGATCGAGGGTGCTCCTCGCGCCTGCGAGAGCAGTCTCGACCTCGGCAGAGACTACAGCAAGGGCACCACCAAAACCGGCGTCGTTGCCTCCGATCACCAGCCCGGCCAGGCTCGACTCGCTGAGCGGCGAGATCAAGGCCGCACCTCCGCCAAGCTGGAGCGGACCGGCGGTATTGGCCACCATCGACGTTCCAACCAACTCGCAACTGGCATTCAAAGTGTATAGCCCGCCGCCGCTGCCGCCGGCGACATTGCTGCGAATCACGCTTGCGGCATCGGCCTCAATCCGCGCGCCATCGACAACTGCCACACCACCACCATTGCTGCCAGCAGAGCTAAGCTCGATCGTGGTGGCGAGCAGAGAGACTCGTGTGCCGGCATCCCGAGCAAAGATGGCACCGCCAGCGTTCGCTGCGCTGGACTGTGTGAATCGGACGTTCTCAGCCACCAGCAGCGCACCGTCAGCGACGACAATCGCACCGCCGCGGCCAGCGTCAGTCACCTCGCGCGAGTCCAGCTGAAGACCCGCTGCACAGCGCACCATCTGCGCGTCCTTGAGCTTGAGCATCGATCTTGAGCCGACCACCCGCAGGCCGGGCGAGCTTTGAGCACCGATGCTCCCGGTGGTTGTGTCATAGATGTTCATGCCGTTCAGCGTTAGTGCGCCGCCATCGGACACGGTGTAGAGTACTCCGCCGGCGGCGTTGCAGTCAAAGGTGACCGCGCCAGCTTCACCGCTGGCAGCCATGGTAAGAAAGAGACCCGAGATCGTCACGTGGCTGTCCTTACGACAGCCTGTGTACACGCCCACAGGGAGGACTAGTGTGCTCGCAGCGCACGCTGACATAGCCATCGAAGCCTGGTGGTGGACGCACGCCATGGTGAGCGGAACGGTGCGGCAGATCGACGACAGCCGTGCCATTTCGCGCATGTCCGTCGTGGTGGCCAGCGGCGTGAGCGCCGAACGAACGTCACCGCGGAGCATGTTGAGATCGGCGCCAACGTCACTCTCGACAATGACGATGTCCCAGTCGCCGTCAAAGTCGACGTCAAACGTGAGCGCGGTGTCCAACGTGAGTGAGGACGAGTAGAGGATCTGCTTGGCCGACCAGACCGAGCCGAGGCCATTGAGGTTCTCATACCAGCCAAAGTCGTCGAAGCGAACGTCGCCCAGGACATCCAGGTCACCGTCATGGTCATAGTCGACAAGGTTGACGGACGACGGCGGGGCCAACGATATGGTGTGAATGGTGGAAAAATTCCCACTGCCGCCGTTCTCCAGCCAGATCAGGTCCGAGGCGCGGAGTACAAGATCGACGAGGCTGTCGCGGTTCATGTCTGCGACAAAGATTGCAACTGAATAACCGTATGCTGGTGCGAGCTGCACAAATGACCAAGCTGATCCGTCGCCGTTGGTGTTGAGATACATGCGGGTGCCCGATGCCGCAGCAGTGCAGGCAACAGCCATGTCTACTGTTCCGTCTCCGTCCAAGTCAGCAAGCACAAGGTTGTTAGCCGAGTCGACAGGGTCTTCGATGATGACCGGGGGAGCAAAGTCGGCCTGTGGCTCACGCAGTCGATTCTCAATCCAGGCCACCTGCTCGGACGCGCTGTTGTATTCGTCTTTGAGCGAGGTGACACCAATGTCAAGGTCACCGTCACCGTCGATGTCGCCAAGATCGAGCGCCTGCGGCGACGTGAGGACGCCGGACAAGACAATGCTCTCGATAGGAAATGAGCCCTTGCCATCGAGGTTCTCGAACCAGGCCACCTTACCGGGCGAAAAGTCGCTTCCCGATGATGTGACAACCAGATCCAGATCGCCATCACCGTCCATGTCACCGACACGAACTCGCCGAGAACGGTCAACGGTTCCGGCGATCTGGATCTGTGCGCCAAAAGTACCAGCAAGGTTTGGGTACCACACAACACCACCGCCTGCAACCGCGCTGATGAGGTCGAGGTATGAGTCGCCATTGAGATCTGCTGTGGTTAAGTCGGACAGGTAGCCTGAGTTACTGTGAACAGTCTCCAGCCTACGAAGCGAGGCATTGGCGGCGCGCGGCACATATTCGACGACGGCGTCAACGGTGTTTCCGGTGGCAACCGCCATTCTGGTCCCAGTCTCAGCGCCGCCGGCTGATGACACCGCCAAAGCACGGATGGCGGTCAACGAGTCAGTCACGTTCTGCTGCGGACCAAGCCAGCCGCCATCCGCGGCTGTGGGGACCCAGGCAGCGCGAGCATCCGACGCAAACACCACATCGTGAAACCCATCAAGGTTGACGTCGTGCACGGCAAGGCTGACTACACCCGGGGTGCCAGTTACCATCGCAGCCGGAGCAAGCCACCCAGACGTGGAGCGGCTTGCTATCCAGACCACCCGCCCGGCGTGGGCGGCGACAAAGTCGGGGCGTCCGTCGTTGTTGATGTCACCGGTAGCAAGCGCTGGCGCGAGACCGACGAGACCGCCAGCCACTGTGCGAGGTGTGAAAGAGCTGTCTGCGTTGTCGAACCAGACAACAGCGTTGCTGCCGACGACGGCCGCCGCGAGGTCAACATCGCCGTCGCCGTCGGCATCGACAGCCGCCAACGCACGCACACCGAGCTGAAACGTGGCCACCGTGGCCGGCGCTGCGAAGATACCGAGCGGACCGGTCGCGCGCAGCCAGACAACCGAACCGGGGCCAGAGGCTGCCGCGGCTAGGTCCGGCCGCCCGTCGCCGTCCAGATCAGCGATAGCAATCGAGTCGGCGCCGGCAACCGCAGACGAAACCAGTGCGCTGGGCGCAAAGCTACCATCACCGTTGTTGGCATACCAGCGGAGCTCAGCGGCGAGCGCGAGAACAATGTCGACGTCGGCATCGGCATCCACATCAGCGACAGCCATCGCGGCCACGCCGGTCACGCCCACGTCGACGACAGTCTTCGCCGGAGCATACACCACCAACATGCCAGCACTAGCCATGGCAACAACGACGTCGTCTCGTCCATTGCTATCCACATCGACGTAGAGCACCAGATCGGCGCCACCTGATGCCGAGTCGAGGATAGTATGACGGGGATAGATGCCATCGGCAGCGAGACAAGCATCGGGTATACCGACTTCAGCTGCCACCACCACCGCCAGCAGTGCACCCAGCACCCAGCACATAGCCATCACCCACCCCATGACCTGCTCTCACGCACAAACATCCTTCCACATTGAGTCCTGCCCACTACACTCGCGCCCATCAAGGGCCGCCTCTCCAAAAAAAAAATTGGGGACCGAAAAAAAAGCAAACAGTTTATCACCATGGCTGCACGTGCCGGCCACCCTCAACTCCACCACCAACCCCGCCTGGGCTCCCCCGCCACCACCAACCCCCGCCCCCGGGGCTGGATAACCGACCCCTCCCCCCTTCCCCCCCTTCCCTTCCCCCCCTCCCCCTCCCTCCCACCACTACCCCCCCCCCCCCCCCTCCTCCAAACCTACGCCTCGAGTAGGCTGTCCGTCAAGCGCCATATCCTCGCTATGCGTCTTTTTGGACACGAGTGTTGCTGACGGAGACGTGGAGGTGTGAGGAGGCACTTTGGGTTGAACAATTTTTTTTTGGCGGGTGAACCCCCCCCTTCCCCCTTCCCCTCCCTCATCTCCCTGCAGGCGGCTCGAGCTAGGCTCAAGCTGCTCTGGCTTGATCACGACACGCATCCATTTCCGGTTCTTGTCGTCAAGATGGTTGACAATGTCCTCAATCTCCTCATGGTCTCCATGGTCATGGTCTCCATGGTCATCGTGATTTTGGTTGACATCGTTGTCATTGGCCCACTCGCTTGGGTGATCATGACGATGAAGCAAAGTGTTAACGACGCAGCCGTCCGCATCGACAAGATTGGGCTGTGGCTGGAGTGCGATACCATACCAAGGTCATTGAGTTGAGGTCTTTGGCCTGATCAGGTGTTGTAGATATGGGGCGGGTAGATCAGGTGTCTTTCGCCACTGTGAACCGCGCAGTTAGCGGCGGCGGGCGGGTGGCGGGCGGTGATGGAACGATCCGACCCTGGCCGTAGAGCGCAAAGTCAAGCGAGTGATGGGCGTCAAAGAGTGGTGGCGGAGTGGCCGATTCAGGACAGAGCGATGGCGAGCTAGTGACAGAGGCATCGCCAACCAGCGCCTCAACGGTTGCAGGTCTCATCGATGAAGGACCTGGCGACAGGCTCGCCGGGAGCGGGACCGGAATTCCATGGTCGCGTTCTGCCCGCAGCGCCCGCAGCAGCGCCCGGCCCTCTTCCACATGCAACGGAAACGGTCTCAATTGCGCCTCGTCCTCCTCTGCCCGCCACGACGCCATTGCCCGTCCAAACGCCGTCGATCTTCGACGGATGGGCGCGACCTCGAGCCGGCGCTCGATCTGTGGCGACAGCGAGCTCGCCCGACCGCTTGCCAGCTGCTGCAGCTCGCGCTTGACCCCATTGCCAGCTGCGGACCGACCATCGCCGGCGCTCGCACCAGCCCCTGCCGCTCCCGCCGGCCGGCCACACTCCCGCCCGCGCCTGCTCTCGCTTTGCCGTCCAGACCCTTTCCAAACCACGTTGACTCTGCCCGACATACCCAGTCTCCACTCGTTAGACAAGTGCCGGTGCCACCGCCCCCGGCCCACCGACCCACCGACCCACCGACCCACCGACTCAGCTCTGTCAGGCGGTCGATCGAGACGTTGGTGCCCGTCTCCCAGCCACAGCCACCACGGTCACCACACCACCACCTCTCTCTCTCTCGCTCCCCCCCCCCCCACTCCATAGCCATGGTCTACTTTCATGCAGTGACCATTGTTGGACTGGTGGCTGTTGTCCTGGTGGCATCCTCGCTGGCATCCCAGCCACCTCCGCCGCCGCACACTCGGCCGCCTCGGCTGGCCCTCTGGCCACACATGAGCCATCCGGTCCATCTGGTGCTGGATGAGCTTCCGGCAGAACGGGCGCGGGCTGACCGTCGCTTCTACTGGGAGAACTACGATGTGGAGGCGCTGGTGGAAGGGCTGGGAGCAGAGTCGTGTCACGGGCTGGAAGTCATCCATGTCGATGAGCTCCAGGCGGAGCTGGAGGCCATGGGCGATGCCGAGGCTGAGCTCGACTACGTCCGCGCAAACGTCCCCATCGTTATCCGTGGTGCCATGGATAGCTGGCCCGGGTTGGGCAAGTTTGATCTCGCTGCCATGGAGGAGGCTTATGCTAATGACCAGCTGGTGGTGCAGGACGCGCGGAGGAAGGGGACCGTCCGCTTCAAGGACTACCTTGAGTACATGGCCGACAACGGCGATGCCAACCCGGCGTACGCCTTTGACGCCCCGTTTTTGGCCTCGCATCCCGAGCTAGGCGAGGCGTACATGCGTCCGCCGGGCCTGCGGCGGAACATGTGGGATGGAATGCCCGACGGACTGGCGCCCGACTGGCGATGGCTCCTCATCGGGCCGCCGCGCTCGGGCTCGGCCTTTCATACCGATCCGTTCAACACCTCGGCGTGGAATGCACTGGTATCGGGCCGCAAGACGTGGGCTTTTTATCCGCCGAATGTGTACTCGCCGCCCGGCCTGTATGGCACCGAAATGCCCGGCCTCTCCACCCGGTTCTGCGCCCCGTCAGAGTCGTGGGGCGGGCCACAGGAGTGCTCGGCCATCTCGGCTCTTGAGTGGTTTGCGAAGACCGCGCCGTTCCTTGCCGACCAGCACGCACCCATCTACTGCGACCAGCGACCGGGTGACATCCTCTACGTTCCTCAAGGCTGGTGGCACGCCGTCCTCAATGTCGAGCCGTCGGTAGCCATCACCGAGAACTCGATCAATGTCGACAACGCGCGCGACATGCTCGAGTCGATGAAGCGTGCCGCGCTGCACGACTCGGGCTACGTCCGCGTCCTCGCCGCCTTTCTCGACCTCTGGACTCCGCGTTTTCCGGATCTCTTCACCGACGCCGACCGCGCCTTTGTGGAGCACTATGCGCCTGATGACGCGCCGCCACCGACCCACGCCTCAGCCTATGCAGGCACGCCGTCATCTCGTTGGCGGCGCAAGCGCAAGCGCAAGCGCACTTGATTCCGTTGCATCACCTGCCTTAATCGCACCGACCACAGCCGACCGCGACCGCAGCCGACCGCGACCGCAGCCAACATCAACCGCAGCCGACCGCGATCGCAGCCAACATCAACCGCAGCCGATCACACCCGCACGGCAGTACGTAGCCGACCGATCATACCCGCACGTAGCCGACCATCTCCATACACAACCGACCAATCATCCCCTTACGCAACTGACTCCCCCCCCCCCCCCCCCCCCCCCTCCCGACGTCGTCGGTGGTGAGCAACCTGACCGCCGACGTCAGCGACACCCGTCACCTCAAAACCGCGCAAGTTCCCCCCTCCCCTCCAACCCCACGCAGGGAAGCCACCCACCCACCCAACTCGTGTCTGTCTGCCTCATGCGCCACCGCCTGGTCCTTCTCACTCTCGCTCTCGCGCTCTTGGCGGCCAGCCTTGCCGTCGCGGCCGCAGCTGACCGTTCCGTGGTGGCTCTGCCCGACCATGAGAACCATAATCAGCACGACGACTCGCCTTTGTCAGCGAGCACTCCTCCGCCAACATCGGTTGATCTCACAGACGAAGACCTCGCTCCACTTCCGCCGTCGCCTGTTCTCGTTCCCACTTGCCAATGGCAGGTGGTACCCCGCGGATGGAATGTCCCGGGCGGTCTTGATCTCCGCCTCGACCTGGCCAACAAGGTCCGCTACGCACGTCTCCGCGGCTGCCCTGAGAGTTCTGAAGCTGATGAGCTCGCTGCCGTCGACAGCCAATCGAGCTTGCCAGCCCATGTCATGCCCATCGATGAGGACGCTCTTGAGCTCGAGGGTCTCGAGCATGATGATGCGGTTGCTGCCGCTGCTGAGCTCATCGGCCAGCTCTCCGAGATGGAGGCCATGGCCGAGCGCGCTGAGCTGCTCCGCGGGAATGCCGCGCGTGTTGCAGCCTATTGCGCCGATCCGGATGCCGGCGATGTTGCCGACGTGCTCGATGCCCTCGAGGCGCTGGAGGATCTTGCGCATCACGTCGACAACGCTGTCGACCTCATGGGCATCGCGGGGGGCATGCCGTCGCCGCTTGCCTCACCCGTATGCATCCCGAACAGTGGGCCGCCTCGCACGATGCGACTCCTTTGGCTCGGGTCGCCACCCGCAGCCTCTGGCTGCTCGGCACCATGATGCAGAACAACGAGGCTGCCCAGCACGCCGCGCTCAACGCCTCGCTCTTTGAGGTCGTCGTTGACGCGTTTGCCCACGCTGCCACCGGCCTTGTCACCTCGAACGATCCCGAAATCCTGGCCTTTGCTACTTCTGTCCCGCTTGCCGGCTCTGGTCCGAGCGCACTTGCCAAGAAGGCTGTTTACGCCCTCGGCGCCATGCTCCGTTCGTCACTCGCTGTGCAGCAGCACGCGATCGACTCGGGTACCTTTGCCACCGTCCTGCCCAACGTTGTCACTGTCCTTGCCCGCGACCTTCCGCCCTGCGCTCCGATCGAGCCAAAGTCGATGGCCGGCAAACTGATTGCCATCGTCGACGACGTGTTGAGCGAGAACCCGTCCGAGACGTCCCAGGGCGTCGCCATCCGTGCCGCACTGGCGCCGTCGTGGAATCCAGCCGTCGCGCGCCTGCGCTGCAAGAGTTAAACCGTGAATTTACTTGGGCGGTTACGTTGCCGGCCCCATAGCGTGCAGGATCGCTACAGCCTTGTCACGCCGCCGCTTCATCCGCACCACCTTTTCCAGTAGCGTCAGCGGCATGCCCGACTGGAGTCGCCGCTGCCGCGGGAGGTGCCGGAACGCTGCCACTGTCTTGCGCAGCAGTGCCTCGCGGTGCCGCTCGGCGTCGTACGCCAGCACGTCGTCATCGCCAAATACTTGCGGCGTCTCGACGTCCACTTCATCGTCCATGTTCAGCGCTGCCTCGACAAGATGTGTCGACTCGTCGAGGTTCGCCTCCGGGTCGGCCGCTACCAGCTGGCTTGCCCGCTTGACAAGCACCACCGGGTCCGACCCGGTCCCGCGCTTGATCCGTGCCATCCGTGCCGCAGACACGTGGTGCCGACGCCGTGCCGCCGTGCCTGCGTCCTTGGTTGCCGCCGATTGATCTATCAGCCGCAGTCGTGACATCGACTTGCGCAACCGCCGCATGCTCTTTTTCCGCTCCACTGCCTCCGGATCGCGTGGCTGTGCCTTCCGCTGTAGGTGCGCCACAGACTCATCACGCACCGCGAGCACATGCTGCACTCGCCCGTAGTCGTTAGCGGCCTCGGCGTGCTTTCCAAGCGCCGCCAGCACCCGGCCCGGTTGTACAGAATGACGTCGGCCATCGACCGCTCGCCGTGCGCAAGCTCGGCCTCGTGCGCAATGTGGTGCGCCAGCTTGGCGTCCGTCACCACTAGCGCCGAGCTCACCATCCCGCCCTGCGGATCGTGCGCAAGCGCCGCGTCGAACTCGCTCAGCGCGGCTTCTAGCTCGCCGAGCGACGCTAGACAGACGCCGGTGTTGTTGCGCGCAACCGCGTCCGCAGGCCACAGCGCCACCACAGCCCGGTACTGCTCCACCGCCGCAACAACCTCACCCCGCGCATACAGCGAGCCTGCCAGGTTGAAGGCTGCCTCGTGGCACCGCGGGTCGGCCTTGATCGCCTTGGCGTATTCGGCTTCAGCCTCCTGCGGTACGCCCATGTGCGCAAGGACCACGCCGCGCGTCGACAGCACCTTGGCCCGCAGCTGCGGCGTCGTCGCCACCTTGAGCGCCGCATTGAGATCCATCAGCGCGCCCTGGAACCGTTCGCCTGCGAGCAGCAGCAGCGCCCGTCCATACCAGGCCTCGACGCACTTTGGCGCCAGCACCACCGCTGTCGAAAACGCCTGCCATCCCTGTTGCACGCGCTCGTCCCGTTGCAGAATCCGGCCCAGCAGCGCGTATCCACGCCCCGAGTCTGGCGCAACCATAAGCCCACGCTGCACATCGCACAGCGCAGCATCGAGCGCCCTTCGCCCGTCGTCCGCTGCAATCGTGGCATGGAGCGTCGCCAGCCGCGCCTCGGCGCGTCCAAACAGCGGCAGCGCAGAGTGAGGCACCAGCCGATGCGCCCGCGTAAACGCCACAAGTGCAAGCTTGGTCCGGCCCAGCCTCACCAGACACTCGCCCACAACATTCGCCATCTGGAACATCTCCGACGTCTCGTCGCTGTCCTTTGCATCCTCGTCTGCAATGTTGGCCTCAACGTTGAGGAAGATGGGCGGTAGGCCGGCTGCACTTGATGCTGCATCGCCGCCGCTCTCGCTCGAGCACTCGTCAGTGTAGGTGTACGAGTACGACGACGACGACGACGACGATGACAACGAGGTTGATGACGAGGAAGACGAGGTAGAAGAAGACGAAGAAGACGACGACGAAGCCAATGCTGCTGCATGCGTGGCTTGTTTGGCAGTTGACTTTTGTGTCTTGCGAGGCTTGGTCGCGCTGGCCGCCGTCGCGCGCCGCCGCCGCTTGCGCCTCGGCCGCTGCTCGACGTTCGACAAAGTCGGATTAAGGGTCCGTCGGGTAGCTTCTTTTTCCTTCTCCGAGTTGGAGAGCAGCGCTGACGCCAAGTTGAGGTCTGAGACGGCCTCGGCCCAAAGGCCAAGCTCGTAGTACAAAAGTCCGCGGTTGCGATATGCGAGAGCAAACGTAGGATGGGCCTCGAGGACAGCAGTGTAGTCGGCCAGAGCCTCGAGCAGGACGCCTGAGGCGTGGTAGATGGCTCCACGGTTGTAGAGACCAACACGCGAGCGCGGCTGCAGGCGAATGGCCCGCGTAAGGTTGGCCACCGCCGATCCGATGTGACCGAGGCGGAACTTGAGCGCGCCGAGGTTGACGTACGCCCGCGCAAACGTCGGGTCCTTGGCAATCGCCGCCAGGCAGTCGCGGATGCCGAGCGCCGTCTCGCCGCGGCGCTCATGGTAGACTGCCCGCGAGAGGTACGCGTCGACTTGGTCCGGGTCGGCTGCAATCGCCGCGTCAAAGTCCGACTTAGCCGCTGCAAAGTAGCCAAGCTGGAATCGAAGCAGGCCGCGCAGGTGCCACGCCTCGCCAAACGACGGCTCGCCTGCAATGCCACGCGAGAGCACCATCACCGCCTCCTCGACCTTGTGCAGCCGCAGCAAGCCGCGCGCCAGCTCAACGTGCGCCGCACCCGAGTTGGGTTGCACGCCCACCGCTTGCCGCAGCTCGTCGACCGCCTGCTCATACTTGCCCGATGCCAGCAGCGCCCGCCCAGACCGCAAAAACGCCGATGGCATCTTGGCGTGCGAGCCCTCGGCAGCGACAGTGGCGATGCGGCTTCGGCCACGTCTCGGCGCACGCATAGCAAGTCTGGCTTGACTCACTGCTTGGCGGAGGAGGCCTGGCGCGGTCGGCGCGGTTGTTGCAGTCTGGTGCAGCGCCACGGCCGTGGCGTAGTCGATGTTGGCGGCCCGCTTTTTGCCGAGAAGGATCAGCGCCCGCGCCCTGTACACGTACAACGGTGCCTCATCAGGCGTGACGTGAATGAGCCGCGTGTAGTCGGAGACGGCGTGCTGCGGCAGCTCCATTAGCAGGTAGCAGTGCGCCCTCGTGTGAAAAGCCCGCATGTAGCACGTGTCGGCATCGAGCGCCGCCGAGATGGCATCAAGCGCAAACTGGAACTTGCGCATTTTCATGTACACCAGAGCAATGTTGACGTGTGCCACCGCCCACTTGGGCGAGATCCGCACCGCATCCTTGTAGTCGGCCAGCGCATTGGGGTACCGCTTGAGGTGGACATAGACGAGAGCGCGGTTAAAGTACGCCCGAGGCCGCTCGCCGGGTGCAAGCGTGATGGCAATCGAGAGGTCGGTCAGCGCGCCGCGCGGCTCACAAAGCCGCCGCAGGCAGCCACGCAGGTAAAAGACCGACGCGTCGCCCGGGTAGTGCGCCACTGCAAGGTCGAGCATCTCCCGCGACGACTCGTAGTCGCCGTTGCCCCCGTACGACCGCGCCAGATTCTTCAGCACCGATGCCGGCGGGATTGCAACGCCGGCCTCGAGCGATGAGGCCATGGATGACAGGTACGCGTCGATGGCGCCGGTGTGGTTGGCCGAGCTCGCCAGGATCCGCGCAATGCGGGCAAAAGCCTCGGCTGCCAGGTCGGGCTTCTCTTTCCGCAGCAGCTGTGCTGCGGTCTTGAGCGAGGTAAGCGCAGCTTGCGGCTTGCCCAACCGCGAGTGGAGGAGCTTGCCACGGCCCAAGTGGGCGAGGCCGCACTCGGGATCCTGGCGGATGGCCTTGTCATATGCGGCGCGAGCCATGAGGTCGCGGCCTTCGCGAGCCATTAGATCGCCGTACGCAACCCGGACTTGAGGCGCGTCGTCAACCACGGCGCCAGCCTTCTCAAACTCGGTGATGACCTTCATCGCCCGGTCAAGGCACTCGAGTGCTGCCGTCAGCTCGCCGCCCAACAGCTCGGTCACATGGAGCTCGTACTCGATGACGGGCTTGGCGCGCGTCTCGGCACGCTTCAGCGCATCATGCAAGTCTCTTTTGGCCTCAGCAAGAAGGCCAAGCTTGCGCCGCGCCGTGCCACGGGCGACAAGACTCTCCACGTCATCGGCAGAGGAGGCAGCGATAGCGGCCACGGCCAACGACGTGGGTGATGGCTCGTATGCGGCATGCGCCCCGACAAGCGGCATCTCAGACAATGAGCTAGACGAGCTCGACGACAGTTCATCAGGCTCTTTTTGAGCGGCGCTTGGCCACTGAGCGTACTGGACCGAGCGCGCCGGTGGCGGCCGCGAGCCAGGGGCGAGCTGTTGCCACCACGCGAGAGGGTAGAGGATCGTGTCCGCCCATGTCGAGCCATTCGGGCGCGCGGCGCGCTTACCGCTACCTCGACTGGGGCGTCCAGCAGTTGCGGGCTCGGGAGTAGCGAGCCCGAGTGCAAGCTCAAGCTTGAGCTCTGCTTCACGCAAGCGCTCTCTGCTGCTGAAGACGATGGAGACGACGACGACGAGCCGGATACTTGAACAGGACTTAAAGCCGGACGCGGGGAGATCGACGACGGTCGAGACCGTATCTGCGAGGGAACGTACGCCTCGCGCTGGGGTGCGTACGGGAGAGCCATAGAGAACGAGTTGCGCGAAAGGGCGCGAGGCGAGCTCGATGCCGATGTGCAAGCCTCGCGGCTGACTGAGTCGGAGCGGTCTCCATGAGAACGCGAGGCCGAGCGTGAGCGCGAGCGAGACGCAGCCGACACTACAGAGGCCGAGCGCGATGTTCGCGATTGTGACCGGGACACGACATCGAGCGAAGCCTGAATGGCAGAAAAGAGCTCGCCGACGGCCGCATCAGAGTTGGGATCGCGTACAGCGCCAGAGCTGAGCGTCAAGTCGACAGCCGAATGCAGCTTGTTGGCAAACTGGTCGCCCCACTTGTCACGGGCACGGTCAAAGAGTTGGCGCCGGCCCGGCGATTGGGTGACAGTGGCCAGGAACCGGTGCGAGAGCAGCAACGCATCGCCTGAGGCATTGTATAAGAGGCCCGAGCTGTTGCGGGTCTCCATCCGACTGCGCGACTCGGCGAGCGACATGGCGCGACGCGGCGAGGCCGCAAGCAGGCGACGCTCGGCCACGGTGCGGATGCGTGACAGGCTGTCTGATGGCGAGCCGGGCGTCTGAGAGTCACGCACGTTCGAGGCGTGACGCGGCGAGGCCGAGGCTGCCGAGATTGAGCGCGGCGGCAACGGCGGTGAGAGTGCAGACTGCGCCTGTGGCAGCTTCGGTGACGTTGAGAACGACACAGACGACGAAACTGAGGATGGAGCTGAGCTCAGTGCCGACGCTGCGGCTGAACCGTCGGACGAGTCCGAGCAAGATGGATGCGAGACGCCGTAGTTGGCCGGGAGCGAGGGCAAAAAGGCGGCAAGCATGTCGCGGACCTCGTCAAGAAGTTGAGCTTCCGGCTTGTCAGCAGAAGCAGGCGCCAGCAGTGGCGAGCGGACAATGCTTCGCAGCCTGCGGCGCCGCTTGCGAACGCGGCCGACCACAGCGTCGCCGCGGACAACATGAGTAACGGTGAGCTCCGTGTCGCGGCGGCGCGATGCAGCTTCGGAGTGATGCTGCTGCGCACGCCACGATTTGGGCTGCTTGCCATCGTCCTCGGTAAGCGGTTCCAGCGTGAGCGAACGCGGGGTAGCAGCGCCTTCGGCGGACGAGCGGAAAAGACGACGATCCAATGGTTGCGCGCGGTGCGAAGGGTGCGGAAGCGGCGATACTTGTGGGAGATGCCTGATGGAAGCTCGACAGGATCAAGGACTGGCACATAGAGGAGCTTGCCACGGCGCTCGAGCACATGCTTGCTCCAAATCAGCTCCAGATCAGCGTCGTCCAGCAGCTCCAGCTCAGCGGCTTCCTCCCACCATTTCTTCTCGTCAATCGCGGGCGAAACGAGATCCAGGCTGGACGACGAGTGAAAGGTCGAGTCCGAGGACCGAATCGAGTATGACGAGTATGAGTACGAGTACGAAGCGTACATGCCCGGTGGGATGGCTGATAGTGACAACGAGCTCGACGACGAGCTCGAGCCCGGGTCAGAGGGCATGTGCACGAGTTGTGCCGACGGTTCGAGCGGCTCCGGCGGCTTGATGCGCACAATATTCGAGACCGAATCAAGCGAGGGGACAAGCGGCGGCAGCTGGCCAGGCGCGAGGTCGAGGTGCGGGGCAAGGATATTGTCGACGCGGTCGATGGCGTGGATGACCAAGGCCGCGTCGGCTGACGACGGCGCGTGCTGCGGAGGGAGGACGTCGGCCTCAAACGACGGCGGCAGGATGGAAGAGGCGACAGCCTTGGCGCGGACGACAGCTGGCTCGAAAACCGTGACGGCAGACTCGAGCTCGATGGTGGCGAGCGTGAGGCGGGTCTTGCTCGGAACTGAGACTTGCGGCTTGGCAGCGACCGAGGCAGCAGCCGAGTGCAGGGTGTGAACCGAGTGGCGAAAGGAGTCGTGCCAGAGGACGACGCCCCGATCGTCGCCGGTGGTAGCCGCGGCCGCAAGACCTTTGGCGGCTTTGCGCGCCTTGTCGACCGCGATTGAGACCTCTTGGGCCGAATACTGCTTTGCCGGCGAGAGCGAGGTAGTGACAAGCACAGTTTGGTCGAGAGTCGGAGGCGGCGGTGGCGGTGGCGGCGGCGGGCGCTCACGCATGCGGCGAAGTGCGGCGTGGCGGAGCATGATCGCCTCTGTCCGGCGTTTGGCATCCTCACGGCGACTTTGGTCCCAGGCGTCGCCTGCAGACATGGCGCTCTTGGAATCAATTTCCAGATCCAAGTCGAGTCGGTGAATGACAGCCGACGTGAGGCGCTGGATGGAGTTGCGGATGACCGCAACGTTGTGGTGGAGGAGCGACTTGTGCGGCTCGGCAGCGACGAGGGCGTCAAGAGCGCTGAGTGCAGCCTCAGCTTCTTCAGCGTTACGACCAATGAGCGCAAGGCGGGAGGCAGCGTTGGCGGCGACCTCACCGGGATCTGCGGTGGAGGTGAGCGAGGCCGATGACGCCGAGGCGACGAGCGCTAACGAGCGCGCGAGCCGAGGCAGAGTCCGCGTCGGAAGATGCCCATCCGAGTCATGCCGCTTCAGTGCGGTCATGATCTCACGGACAGCAGCGGTGGCCGAGCTCAGCTCAGCGAGCGTGTGGTCCAGCCAAGGCGGAGGCGGGCGGGTGGGCGGCGAAGCTGCAGGGCTTGTACGGCCTTTCAAGCGCGACGAAGGCTGGACGAGGACCGACAGCTGTGGCGGCAACCGTTGCGCCACCTCCCAGTCGCCGTAGATGTTGACGTATGCAACGGGCGCGGGCGCTGGGCGGGCAAGCGCGTGGAGCGCAGCATCGCGCGGCTTGAGCTGGAGCGAAGTCACGACGAGAGCGTTCATCAGCGGAAGCGGCGAACGGCGGCGAGGCGGGACGGGCGGAGCAGGTCGACGAGAGCGAGAGTGCGGGGTAGGGTGAAGAGCCGGCGGCGGATGCGCGACATGGATAGGCCGGGTCTGGAGATGGGCAGTGAGCGAGACGGAGGAGGCTGTCGAGGCGAGCGAGCCGGCCGAGGCCGTCACGGCCCGCGACAAAGCAGGGAGCGGCTCGTCTTGCGGCGGGCGCGGTTGCAGCGGCGGGAGAGGGCGCTGGTCCCGAGGCGAAGAAAGCGATGGTCCTCGATGGCTGGCACCCAGAGCGAGAGTCGTCACCGCATACGGCAAGTGGTACGACCGATGCGGCGGTGGGCGCGGCCGGTTGTGAGCCGGTGGCGGCTGTGGCGGCGGCCGTGGCTTTGGCTTCCCCACCAGCTCTGCTGCAGAACCTTGCACCTCCCCTTGCCCTAACGCCAGCGTCCTGTACCCAACAATACGGAGCGCAGGCGCATGTGCGGGGCGGTATATGTGGTGTGGCTCCATGGGGGGGGGGGGAATGGCGGGGAGAGGTGATCATGTTCGTGATCGTGATCGTGATCGTGATCAACATGATGGGATTTGGCGCACGAGGAGACCGGGTTTGGGCCTAAGGCACGCCGCACAGCATCATCAACATGATTGCCGTACTTGCGATGTACACTTGCATTGTGATTGTGTATTGTGTTTGGTATCGATGGACGATGATGGGCTATGGGCTATGGGCTATGGGCTATGGGCTATGGGCGATGGTGTGATGGGCGATGGGCGATGAGTGATGTTGCGGCGGGCGATGGGAGGCAGTCGGTTAGGCAGCAAGCAGCCGCAGGAGCAGCCACAGGAGCAGCAGCAGGAGTCGGAGCCAGAGTCAGAGCCAGAGCCAGAGCCGGAGCCAGAGCCGGAGCAGGGGCAAGAGTAGCTACTTAACTCTGGACCTCCCCCTCCTCCTCCCCCCCCCCTCTTCCCTCCTTCCCTTGTAACTATGTCCTCTCGTCGCCGTGGCAATGACTCCTCCTCCCGCAGCCGTCGTGGTGGTGGTGGTGGTGGTGCTTCCCGCCGTTCTTCCGGTGCTGTGGAGCGGAAGGGCGCGTCCAAGACTGATGCTGCTGCTTCCTCTGCTGGCGCCGAGCCAGAGTCTGCCCAGGACCTTACCCAGTTTGTACGTCATATGTCTCTCTCTCTGTGTGTGTGGGGTGTGGGGGTGGTGTGGGGGTGGGCATGGTGGTGGTGGTGGTGGTGGTGGTGGTGGTGGTGGTGGTTGCCGTCGTCGTCGTCGTCGTTCGCCTGCTGTTCCGAGGTCGGTTGCGGGTTGTGTACTCACAGAGAGAGGGAGACGCACACACATACGTGTATATGTAATATTCGTGTCATGTGGGTATGCGGTTGCTGATGGTGGTGATGGGTGGTTGCTTGTGGTGGTGCTGGGTGGTTGCTGGTGGTGGTCCTGGTCTTGCTGGTGGTTGCTTGTTGGTGGTGGTGGTGGTGGTGGTGCTGGTCTTGCTGGGCGTGGGCGTGGTGGTGGTGCTGGTCTTGCTGGCGGTTGCTCCTGCTGCTCTACTGGTCTTGCTGCTCTGTTGGGGTTGGTGATGCTGACTGGTGCTGGTGCTGGTGGTGATCGTTGTTTCACTGTGTGTGTGGGGGAACGGTGGTGTGCCATGGGAATGGGCTGTGGGGGGCGTGTGGTCGTTCGGCTGGGTTGTGCAGGTCCAAGAGCTGCTTGGCCAAATGGTACGTGTGTGTGTCGGGTGAGGAGCAGAATGTTGGTGTCGAGTGGGCGGGGTGAACTCACGTGGTTGACGGGCGGCGTGTGCAGCAAGAGCGATTCCAGGGCATGTCGGATCAGATCATCGGCCGGAGTACGTTTGTGGAAAGTTGAGAGAGAGAGAGAGAGAGAAAGAGAGAGAGAGAGAGTGTGTGCGTGTGTGTTCTCGTGTGCTTGTGATGGGACTCACGGTAGGTCGTGGATGGGGTGCAGTCGATGAGATGGGCTCGCGGATCGACGATCTGGAGAAGAGCATTTCGGATCTGATGCAGCAGGCCAACATCGACGCCGAGTAGGTGACGAGGTGTGTGCGGCTGTCTCGAGATTCTGTGCAGAATCTGGCGGGTAAAGACTACAAATGCGATGCAAGTGAGCGTGTGGAGTGGCCATGGTGAGGTGGCTGGAGCGTGTGTAGAGGTTGCTGAGTCGGGGCTACGCCTCGCGGGCACGAAGAAAGGCAAGGAACGAGTCGGGCCCGCCGGTGTCCTGCGGATGGGTAAAGGCAAACGAGTGGGCCTGTGAGGCCATGCGCTCCTTCTCGCGCTCTTCGTAGATGCCGGAGAGGATGGCGCCTGTGGGCTTGAAGGTGCCTGTGCGAGCGTAGTGGCGCTCAAAGTGGTAGGCGATGTGGAGGGCGGTGTTGAGAACGTCCATGAGAACGGTCTGGGCGACCGAGTGCGGCCACGAGGGGAGGTAGTCTGCGACGACGATGACTTGCGACTGGTACTTTTCGTGAAAGGCGGCGCGCTTGTTGTCGACGCCGATGGCAAACGCCGGGAGGACGTACGGCGGAAGAACTTGCTCGAAGCGCTTGGCCTGGACGCGGCCAAACTGGTCGCGGCACGAGGCGCCGGCGAGAATGACGGGCTTATCCAGCAGCGAGTTGAGGAGCTCGACGACGGCGGTGCAGTACGACTGCGAGCCAGCGGTGAGGACGTAGACCTCGAATCCCTCCTCGTTGAGATACCACAGGAAGCGGGTGGCCCACGGGCGGACGGCGATGGTCATCGGCTCGGTGTGGTCATCGTCGAGGAAAATCTGGTGGGTGTCATGCATCTCCAGTGGCATATCCGGATGGCCCTCTTGGGCAGCGACGAGAGTCTCGTCCAGATCAAGAACGATGGAGAGTGAGCCGCGCCACGAGACGTGGTCATCGCCGCCGGCGATGCCGACTTTTTCCCTCCGTGAGTACGCCAGCTGCGGTGTGGCCAGCGGCGAGTCGATCGACGGCGAGTCCGAGAGCACCGACGCAGGCGCTGCCGTGTCGACGGCCAGTGGCGGCAAGTTGCGCTTGGCAGCCAGTGAGCTGCCGTCGTCGACGCCGGCCATCCCGCCGGTCATTCGCATAATGACCACGTCATCCGAGTCGATCGACGCCGTCGACGCGCCCGTGCGCTGCAGCAGGGCAGGCACGGTAGTGGCGAGCCCGGCCTCGTCTGCCGAGCTTCCCTCACCAAGCGAGCCCGAGGAGACCACGACGACTCCGTTACCAAAGCTTGTAGAGCTGCTACCGGCCTGGAGCGAGGCAGAGCCGAGGCCAAAGCCGGCGTCCAGCGAACCGGTGGAGAGGCCGGCCTCTGCCAGAGCGGCGGCAGCAGCAGCTGGATCACCGGCACACTGAGAGGCAGAAAGGTCCGAGTCTGACGAGTAGCTCCTCTGCGCAGCATATGTCTCCCGCGAGGTTGTCAGCTTCTTCTTGGCCAGCTCCTTTGCCCTGGCTGCAGCCTCCTCGTGCTCCAACTGGTTGGGCGAGTGGACGGAGCAGTAGCCATCACGCCAGCGAAGCGACTCGGGCAGCAAGCATGCTTTGTTCTTGGCGGTCTTGGCCATGCACAGCCTCCGTCCGCTCCCTTCTCCTGTCCCCGTCCCCGTCCCCGTCCCCGTCGTCGTCGTCGTCGTCGTCGTGGTCTTCCCTGTCGTCGACCCTCCGCCGTCTGCACTTGGCCTCGGCCGTCCACTTCCAGACATCCTTCACAGGTATACCTATGTGTCTCCTGACTCCAGTACCTGTCCTGCTCTCTCACCTGGCGTGGAGTGGTTGCTGCGGTGCTCCCTGTGGTCACCGTGCTCGTCTCTTGCCTGCCTGTGAAAGAGAGGAGGAAACGAAGAAGGCTGACTGGCGGACATGTCAGGGGGGAGGGGGGGGGTATGGAGGGATGCAGTGGGGGGGGGGTATGGATGACTGTGATGGGGGTATGGATGACTGTGATGGGGGTATGGATGACTGTGATGGGGGTATGGATGACTGTGATGGGGGTATGGATGACTGTGATGGGGGTATGGATGACTGTGATGGGGAGATGGATGACTGTGATGGGGGTATGGATGACTGTGATGGGGGTATGGATGACTGTGATGGGGGTATGGATGACTGT